CTTTGCTGCGTTGTGTGTGTGCAGTGGAAAACGTAGCTGTGTAGAGAGGGTATCATATTTAATGAGGTGCAAGAAGGGGTGGGAGTAGAAGGGATTAAAATTTAACCTCATGTTCTCTCCCTGAGCACGCGAGGTATGTAGAATAGAAAAGATCGACGTTGCTGCGATTAATAAACAGCGGGGTCACGACAACCGTCAATGCCCATTAATAATCTCAGCTAGAAAGGGGAGAGGGGAAAGAGGGAGAGAAAAGGGGGGGAGGGTGAAACAAGAGATCGGAGAGGACAGGTAATGTGCACGGCATGGCTAATTCCCAGTACCAACCATTTGCCCTTGATGTGTCTTGCCGACAGAGCGCTCTCCTCGAATTTTCACAACGAACTGCTCTGTTGCAGAGTCGGAAACGTAAATCGGAGAAATACATGGCCAGAAAGACCAATTTATAAGAGCTCCGCGCCCCACCACTAGATAAATGTTAAAGTCGCACCTTACCTGGATGTCGTTTGCCGGTCGTTGTCGAGGATAGAAGTACCGTGCACCGTGGCGAGAGACCGAGCCTCCCTGCGTCGCGTTACACGAAAGGCTATTAAGCTACACATTACGTCGATATAATTTTCCCGCGTTCGGTGACATGAACGCGGGTGAGTTATTTGCATCAGGGGTCCGGAAAACAACAGGAAAGCCTAGAAAGGGTTTGGGACGGCACACTGTCCTTACCATCGCTCTGAGCCTCGTACGGTAGTAACAGTCCCCCAGTTGTTGTGCCGGCCAAACTGCGTGGGCGATTTTGTGTCAAATTAACGCGCAACCGACCGCCGACCTCTGGAGTAGCTGACTAGCCTGACGGTCACGAGTCAGCTCGCGGACTATTTAATTTCCCGGCGCTGTCCGCGCACGTCTCGGATAGCGGTCATATGACATGCGTGGTTTGTTTTTAGCGTTACAAATTACCGCAGGAATTTGTCCTTCCCTCCTCTGTCACGATCTCGAGCCTCCGGGTATACAAAGGCGGCCGCGAGATCCTGACCCCTCATTTTCTGCAGAATCACTACTTATCTCGGCAGCAGTGTCGGTGACTAGAAATATGGCGAAAGATGGTGCGCTGGAGATGCCCGTTCAGACCGTGACAGAAGATCGCGCCGCTCAAAGGCGTGCAGTCGGTAAGTACCACTTCTGGTTCGGCTACAACGGGATATTCACACGTCCCGCCGGGATTATTCCGAGGGAGGTCCTCCCCCGTTCTTCTCGCCGCATCGCCCCCGACGATGATGATGCAACAAGCGAATGGACCACGTGGAGGGGTGAGGCGATAAATGGGCGAGAGGAATGAACTTGCCAGCAAACTCACTGCCTCTCCTCCTGGGCGAGCAGAACCCCCACCTCTGGTCCTCTCCGCCTTTCCAACACTCATTCCGAACTAACGCCGCTCCTCGAAGCCTTTCCCACTCACTACCGCGATCCCCCCTCCCCTCCTCCTCCCCACACTCACCACTTACCACACTCCCTCGGTCTCCCCCCTCGCGCAACACACCCATACTGATCTCCACATTTCCCAAAAACCCTAACCCGCAGCCGCAGCGAGCAGCAAGAGGACAGAGCCTGTCGTTAGAGGAGCAACTTGACTTTTTGACATTCCTCAGGACTGGGACGTCGTTCTTCCGCCGATGAAGAGATGATGGGGTCTCCCTCCCCTTTCTGAAAGCTTCGTCACCCGTTTCACACATGCACATCTCCCCCGCCCCCAACCCTGCACCGAGCTCACCGGCCTCTCCTGTTGAAACCAAACCCATCATCGCCCCCCTCTCCTCCTCCTCCTCTTCATCATCGTCCGAAAAACTGGCAAAGTCTTCCTCCCCTTCTCTTCGGGCAATCGGAAGACGAAATTCTTGTCAAGGTCCCTAGCACATCACCCCGGGCCCCGATCCAACCAATCACACGAGAAAGACTGTTTCGATGCCGGTCGAGGAATTCAACCGGCTTCTCGATGTCACCACGCTGAACGAAATCGAAGTGGCGTTCATGAAGGAATGGAGAAGACGAGGGAAAAACAAAACGGCTGCCATGATCGCGAGGAAAAGGAAGCGAGACGAACTGACAGATCTCGACGATGAAGTCGAGCAACTCCGCAAACAGAAGGCCGGACTAAGGTCAAAGTACGAACAGCTGAAAACGGAGATAGTGACGCTGAAAGCGAGGTCGAAGGCCGCGGAGGAGAGGGTGTATCAGAGATACTCGCGACAGAGCGGGGTCCACGTGTCACGTGACAGTCATGTGATCCACGTAGACAAGTCAGGGAAAGTACTGCTAGGACCTCGAGTATCGTCACAACAGATGCTTCTTGTGAAATAGACTTCTTCTAGAATTTTATTGTTTGTCCTTTTTTTGTGTTTTTCATTCATTTTTATATCCCATGCACCTGTTACTCTGTGTATATATCACTCAAGTGACTAAAACTCTCAGATTCTTCTAGAAGGTTGTTCCGCTTGTTCAAAATTTGCTGCTTGTTCAAATTTGCTGAGTGTAAACGCTAGAATGAGTGGGTTGTGCTATGTTTAGTAACATTACGTAATGGAATGCAAATTATTCATAGTCACTTGTATATACAATTATGCTGTGGGCCAAATGAATAACAAGAGGTCAAAATGTGTAGAATTTTAACAAGTCACTAGTTGGCTAAGGTCCATGTATTATCATCAACTGAAGTTCGTCCCACCTTCCTGGACTCAGCCCAGGGGGGTGGTTTCCCGTAGCAACCAGCGGTATGCCGCGTCCTTCCCGTTTTCCTTGAGATAGGTTCCAACAGTTTCCCTTACGGAGGTGTGGTATGAATTGAGCCAGGTTATCTGTGGCCACCGGACACACAATTAATCCAAGGTCACAGGGTCCGTCCACACCAAACGGTGCAATAGATATCGATAGCGTTCAAACAATAATTTGAAGCGAAATACAGACATCATTCACTCCCTTCGGCTCCCCCTCACCTGTGCCTCATTAAGAAGCGACGGCTCAATCATCTTCGTTTGAACGGGCACCATTGTCACCGGCTCCATCGTCAAAAATCCAGTCCCTCCAAAATTATTCTTGGCAAAAAAATGTACAGGTCATCACACAAAAATTGTGGAGACGGCACCCGTACCTTTGTGGTGGTTGGCACAATTTCGACTACGTTCTCGATTCTTATTCCAAATTTTCCATCTTCGTAATAGCCCGGCTCTGTGGTAATAAAAGACACACTAGGAGTGCTCAAACTATTTAATCCTCCCTCTCTCCCTCTTCCCGCATAAACCACAGTAGGTACAGTTGTGGTGTCTTGAAGGGCATCTACTTTTCTCAGTGAGTATGGAACGGACAAAGGGGAGGAAGCGAGGTCATCATTATAATGCGTAAGGTCACTATCATGATTGTTGTGGTAAATGCTATTCACATAGTATAGAGCTATATATGGAGAAGATTCTACAAGATAAGGGATTTTCTAGCATCTACAGATCTAGGGCAACAAATGAGTTAGCCCACTGTACTGATGTGGGGCAATATAATCCTACTGACAGGGGGCTCTAGATTGTATATACTGATGTAGTATGTTAGTCATTCTAATAATGTAGGGCAATATGAGATTTATTCGACTGATAGGGGGCTACTGCTGCTGAGTGGTGACTGACCATCTGAAATAAACATGGATGCTTGGAGGGGTTCTGGACTAGGTCGACTGCCTACACTTTGTGGGCCTGCATGCATGCAGGGAGGGAGGGAGGGGGAGAGGAGAGAAAGAGAGAGAGAGAGAGAGAGAGAGAGAGAGGAGCACTGACCATCAGACATAAACATTCCAGCCTCAATTCCCTCAGGGTACGGTCGAAAGTGGATACCCATGGGACCTGTACATTGATTCATGTTGGAAACACTGTTGTTTTTTACGTCTTATTAAAGCCTCTCATCTGGTGCATGCAGAGATGTGGCGGTCTCGCTGAGAAGTTTGCCGAGAGTTTTGTCCCCCTTTACAAATACCTTCGTGGACGCAGAGGAAAGACCCGACCCCGTGTCCAGTCCCGTGTCTGTAGTCCAGACCAGCAGTCCAGAGCGGGGCTCGGGCTATCGCCTCTATACGATGACCTACAGCAACAAACACCAATAAACCTTTTTTTTTAAAACCCGATTTGCGAGCAAAGCAAGCACACCTAGTCGTCTGAAATACACAAATTTTCTGAGTACACTGACAATGCGGTACTGAAATGCATTATATAATGCTAAATACACCAAATTTATAGGTGTCACAGTAATTATAGGACAATCACTCGCAAATATTATAATTCATGCGCACACAAGCACATGAAGGACTTAGACGCGTGGTTGTGGATTTCATGGTTTACCGGCGCATTTCACCTTACCGTGGGTTTTGTTGGGAAAGACGAGAGAGCACAAGTCGATGTGTCCCTTCAGAACACAAGTGAACGCCTCCTGAACATGTGGCAGTACAATACACATGTACAATACTTGCAGTACAATAGACATGTAGGCAGGAATGATATCAGGTACAAGACGTACAATGAAACACGTGTTATCATGTGAGCCACTACATGGGTACATGTCAACCTTACCACAGCTTTACTTAACAACAACAACAAAAAATAGGAATCTTTAGGCAAAGGGTCAGGCTAAAAACTTTCAGGATGTCAACCAGATCTTAGTGTTCACAACTTTATACAAAACTCCCAGCCAACAATCTACATTTTATCTGCAAAATGTACAAGTTTCCATAAGACGAAAGTCCCTTAGTAATGTCTAATACGTATGTCATAACCTTTTCTTGTGCAGTAGGTGTGCCAAAATGGACTGTCCTGGTGACGTCGGTGGTTCCGTCGCGATACTGAGCCCCCGAATCACACAGATAGAGCTCCAAGACACTCAGACTACGATCCGTTGAGGGGTGGGGCTGGGGGCGGGGCCAGAACACAGGGGGCGTGGTCAATTCTGAGACTAATTATAGGTGCGGGTTTTTTAATACCTGTAGTGTATGATTGCTCCGTGTGGTCCAGACGATGAGATTGTCGGAAAACTAAGTGACACGAAATCTGCTTGCTCCCTAAATGAATTACATCATCGTGACATTAAGCTGGATTACATCGTTGTGATGTCATAGTTGGAGCTCGCCTGCGGAAAGTCTCTAGTTTGTCGGCTCCGGAGATCTCGGTGACTGTGTCGCCTTCCTTCATCCTCTCCTCCAGCCAGCACAGATACTCACACAGAGCAGCGCCGTCTCTGATCTAGAGAGAGAGAGAGAAAGAAAGAGGGAGAAAAGGAGAGTGGGGCAAAGGAAGGCAACAAAAACAGAGACACTGTTTGGATTCCTTCCCAGTTTAATAAATGCAACCAGGCTAGGTATCAGGCTCTCCGTGTAGGCCAAAGTCTTAGAGGGTGCAAAGGTATTAGGCTTTGTCAAAACTCTCCGTGTAGGCCAAAGTCTCAAAGCAAAGAGGGGCAGGCAGAAATACAGAAATGAAGAAGTCGGACGGACAGAGTCGAACAAGTGGACAGCCCTCCCACCCGTCTTTCTCTCCTGCTCCTCGTTGTTTCCTCACATGAGCAGCCCTCATTCCGCGAGACTCAGTCTCGTTCTTGACTGCCTTCAGCAGCTGAATGGGGCTCAACTTCCCCACTCTCCTCCCCTTGGGCACCAGACTCACCAGACCTTGACCACTCTCAGAGTTTATCTACCAAAAAAATTACGTTTCCACACATTTTTTTGCTTTGTTTTGTTAACCAACCCATATTTTCCCTTCTGAATCAGTCAGCGACTTGACGTCGTCCCAAATTGCGCTATAATCACGGGTAGCCACTCCACCCTCACTCCCAACGCAAAGATGCTCCTTAATTTCGTCTGTCAAAAGATCCGCGTCAAAGTACAGCCTGTAAGGAGTCAGGCGATGAGTGTATGTGACATCACAAAAGGTCATGTGATTATCACCTGACGGTATCCGTGGTGATGATTGCGTAGGAGAAGAACAGGGGATTGTAGTCAATGTCGGAGCCTCGAAGATTGAGCAGCCCTCCAGAGGGGGAAAGGGAAGAGGGAGAGGAGAGGGAGAGCGAATGTAACAAAGATCACCATGTCGTGCTTTCCTTAAAAAATTCGAGTCCCACTCCCCCTCCTCAAAAATTGTGTTTTAAAAGATATGCTTTCGGACTTCACTCACAAGCTATCTCGTCCATGGCTGTCACAACCAGAGACGTAGCAGACCGTGCCTCCATCTTTTTCCTAACATCGCTAACCTTCTCTTGCCAGCTATGACCTGCAGCAACACACACACACCACACGATACAATGGCACAATCAGTAAACAGTAGTCTTTCACTCTGTGGCCATATGGACATTCAGTAGGCATATGCCAATGTTAGAAAATAAAGGTTTTACATTCTACGTGACAGTGTAATGCAAAAAGAGAGTTGCTCATATGAGATTTTCATAATACTTCAGAAAGGAGTAAAGCATACAATCATGTGGTTGACTTGTTTGCCTTGCCTTGCTTTTCTACCTCGCTACCAATTATTGTTGAGACATGCACAGCAGTTACAGTTTAGCACATGTTTTTGTTGTTCCTTTCATGGAATTCTAATAATAAGCCAAAAGCGTCACATGTACAGTTTGTTTTGCCTTTGCCTTTCTACCATGTTGTTGACACATTCAGTAGAGAGAATTGGGAAACAAAACACGATTATACAGGAGTTTGACTGAACACGACACAAATCTGCTATAATAATACATCTGTACCAGAGTATTGCAGTGGTAGGACCATGAGGGGGTTGACGGGTCGTGCTGGGCGAGAGTCCCATACCAGATCCACCAGGTTGACTGATACTGGTACCAGAACCTGCCCCGTGCACTCCGTGGCCTCCGAGTACTTCTTGTACACCTCTGGACACGAGTGGATGGAGGGGAGTATAGAGGAGGAGAGGAGGGGTTTAAACCCTCTTCGAACTCTTTATCTGCTACTTTTCACATCAAATCGATTAGAGCTCACTGTGAGAGGTGAGAGATGGGTCAAATCCAATCCTGGCCCCAGATTCCAGTTCCTATATATAGTATATAAGTACGTATTTATAATCACACACACACACACATTCTCTCTTTATTAGTATACACCTTGCTCATCCACTCCTCAATAGTAGGCACTCCACTGGTCCCTGACAGACAAAGAGTACATATACAGTTTATTCTGAATTAATACGTGAGAAAGATTTAATTATACGTTTAATTCCACGCACATTCACTGGAAGTGCAAACTCATATTTGCATTGAAGATTCAGACCTTGTTTCATGAGGGTCCAAAGGTCAGGGTTGATCTCCTGCGAGGCTTGCAAGTGGTAGCGACCGCTCCGTCCAAAGCCACGCCCCTTCTGCCGTTACCACGGTAATTCCTGTTGCGAGATCAAACGAATTTAGTGATGTGTGTGTGTGTGTGGAGGGAAAATCGGAACCTGCTGATCCGGTAAAACCAGTCATAAACTCCCTCCTCTTGTCGCAGTTGGCGATGTACTCGTTCTAATGAATTATTCATGAGATGGGCGGGGCTTGTATGACAACTGTGACTACACACAGGCGGCCAGAAGCAAGCTTACTTGATGTGCATCATCCGTGGGGATGACGTATGCAGTCAGCGGCTCTGACACGTACTTGGAACTGCGCATAACGCTGCGGAGTCGCTCCAGAACGGCCGCACTCCCTGCCGCCATCTTGCCCTAATTCAATTCCACGTTCTCCTTTGTGATGACGTAATGCGTGGGTCCGTCCCGTCTTTTCTCTAAATAACGCTAACCAAAGAAACGCGTGATTTGTTTTGCGGAGTCTATTGTGCGACGTTCCGCGGCCATGGACCAGATACAGCAGTATGTAAAGCCTCTGAAGGACTTTGCAAAAGACTCAATGAGACTCGTGAAACGCTGCACCAAGCCTGACATGAAAGGTAAGAGTTTTTTGGAGAGAGAGAGAGAGAGAGAAAGCGAGAGTAAACGTTGTGTGGTTGTTTCCACAGAGTTTCAGCGTATTGCCACGGCCACGGCAATCGGGTTTGCCGTGATGGGGTTCATCGGGTTCTTCGTCAAGCTCATCCACATCCCAATCAATAACCTCATTGTGTAAGTTCTTTGCATGCCACTCTTGAAAATTCATATTCATGTTCTGGTTTTTTCCCCAGCGGATCATGAACGGACCTACTGCGACCGTTGATACATCCGCCCACCCCTTTAATAAAAATCAATTCTGTACAAATGTAAATAATTATGGTGATATTGAAAAAATTCTTTCATTCACTCTCTGCCCCTTCAATGATTAGTTCCTTCTCACTCCCCTCATCCTCCTCCTCTTCTGCCCCCTCGTCAGCGAAGATAATGTGGGTCGAGGTCTTTGCAGTAGCGGTAGTGTCACATAGTCTGCGGTAACCAGTGAACTGGTAGTCTAGACCCAACTCTGCCAGCCTCTTCCTCTTCCGTTGCTCTCGGGATAACAGACGCGTCACCCTCTTCTGCACTTCCGACACCGTTCGAGGCTAGAGGGGGAGAGGGGGACACTAAGATACAACTAACATCTGGCCTCAGGTAGTACAATTGGTACATCATTCTCTCAACGTACTCTGTTGTGAGTTCTCTGTGCCTCTCTCAGAGTTTTTTCTCTTGATGCTACTCTTCTGTCGGGCGTCAACATCCTTTTCCCCACCTTCTCCGTTCCACACGTGACTCTACAGAGAGCATCACAATTACAGATTGTTAAAAATGCAAGAAATTTCCTGCCCTACAAGTGGTTTTTCCTTACATTTGAGCAGTTTGTTGCACATGAGGTAGTTGTTCATGCTCTCGGCAGCGATCTGCGCAACTTCGGGGAATGCGAAGTCACGAAAAGACATAACCTCTGGTCTTCACAGTCTATGGAAAAAGACAGGGAGTGTTGTGTGAGTGTGTGTGTGTAGGAGCAGCTACTAACCTTCTGCTGCGGTATAAGCTGAGTCTGGTGACGGTACCAAATTGCGAGAAGAGTAACTCCGCATCTCATCTTCAAAGAAACCGTACGGAATGTCGCCCAGAATATATAACACCGCGCTCTCTCGGCGGAGGAAGCTCTTCATGTGCTCCTCCTCATCTTTCTCGCTTCTCGCCTCTTCTTACGGCTTTCTTCTGCTGCTTTACGTTCTTTTTCGCTCTCTCTGTGAAGGCACAATCCACGACTTGTTGTCTCCTCATCCATTGCCGGCGGCGCCGTGGACAGGTCGAAGGTCCAAAATTGAATGTCTCGCATGCGCACGGAGAGGATAATGAACATTCTCACACTTACACTGATATATAAATCAAAAACCTGGTAGTAACACAAAAGGTGGGATAACTGTGTCCATTAGCACATAGTTTGGTCTCGTCAATCGGTCTTAGTTGCTGTGGGTCTGTGGTCAGGACGTGGCCAGACAGCAGTTTGAAGCTCCATAGTGCCAGTGACGTGGCAACCGGTATCATGAGGATGACGGGATGAGAGAATACCAGAGATACTGACGATGCACCTGTGTGGAAAGGGTTAAAAATTGAATTAATCTTCTCAGTGGGAGTGGAGTTGAGATGGAGTTAATGCTTCTGAGTGTGGCTGATTAAAAACACACCCATTGCCACACCCACAAGTGACTCACCAGCGAAAACAGTGGAACTCTGAGTAAGTGCTGTGAGAAGCACAGCCAGTCGGGTCATCTCCATGGGAACGACCCTGGGGTTACGCTCAAGGAATAGTCCGAGACAAGTGAGTGAGAACATACAGTAGGATACCAGGGCCACTGTCTGAAGCCAAGGGAGACCCTGTGATGTCAGTATAATAATATTCTTGTTAGTAATCTCAGGATTTATTCAGTAAACTATTGCACATTGGTCAGTAAACCAATATACTAGAGCAGTGGAGTTAGTAAATTAGCCAGTAATCTGTGTACAAAGGAAACTTGCCTGGCGGATAATACGCATGACCGTGGCGATTATCAGCAAAATGACAAAGTGTATGGCGACATAGACATTCAGCCAGAACGGCACCGTTGGATCATATGGTTTTTCATCTGGAGAAACCTGTGTAACAAGTGATATAAATAAATGATAGGAAAGGGGAGAGAGGGAGAGTGGGAGAGAGGAGAGAGGGAGAGGGAGAGAGGGGAGAGGGTGGAAGGTGACCTGAGGAATATCTTGTCGAAGACCGAGGCGTGGTTTCCCTGGCGACCAGCCGGGACCTTTGAAAAGGAACTGCAGTTTGAATGCGAGGCCATCTCCTTTCTCCCCCCGCACCAGTCTCCTCGCGATGTATACATAGTGGTGTATCTGGGGTCACGTAGGGGGAAGGAAGATTGCAGGGAACCTTGGTTACGTACCTGTGCCCAGAAGGGGTTCCATGAGGAGAGTGGGTGGACCAGACCATACACCACCTTTTCCTCACGGAGCTCTGGTTGGAAGGTTCCAAACATTCTGTCCCAGATGATCAGAACACCAGCTGGGAGATGGAGGAGAGAGAGAGATCGTGTAGCCATAAATACAGGAAAAGGAGATGAAATAAGCACAAAGACAGACATGTGGGTGTGAAAAAACCATCCGCGCTAAATAGCACTGAACGTACCATAGTTGCAGTCGATGCAGTAAGGGTTGCGACCGTGGTGGACGCGATGGTGAGATGGAGTGTTCAACACCCATTCCAGTACCCCCAGACGATCGACAACCTGTGTCACGATGGAGGGAGGAATCTCGATTGACAGGTTTGTCAGCTGCCAGTACACTCACCTCTGTGTGGATCCAAAACTGGTAAAGCAGGTTGAACTGCTTGTGGGTGAAGTAGAGCGATGGAGGAAGGAACAGCGCCAGAGGCAGATACACAAACTACGCAAGAAACAAGAAGGAAAAACGGTGTGTTCGGTGCACTAAATTCTATTCTGCTACCAGGGACTAAATAGTGAAGAATTACAGTACAAAGTCAAATAGAGCTCGGAACTTAAGCACCATGTTCCCAATTTTCGTCCTTGTAAAGTTTTTTTCCTACCCTATAACCCTCCTAACACACAGACCATGGAGAAGAAGACGGTGGAGATGGGCTGACGAAGGGCAGAGGAGAGAGTAAAATCATCGGAACTGTGGTGCACTTGATGAGCTGCCCAAATGAGGTTCACTTCTGAGATATAATTACATGTGTAAGAAAAGAATAGAGAGAGAAGGAAAGATACCATGAGCCATGCGATGAAACCAGTAGTATCCGCAATCGACACCCAGGAGAGCAACAATCCACGTCAGGGCCGAATCCCACGGCAGTTCGTACATACAGAACCGCGAGTGAACCCACACGTAGAGGCTGCAGTCACATGACAATCACGTGACCACGTACATTGGTCACATGACCACTCACCTGATGTCTATACTTCCCATGAGTACTTTGGTGAGTAGCAAAAACAGTCCAGCACTGAGAGAGTCTATGGATGAATTGAAACGAACTCTCGGCATTCCTTTCATCCATCTTATGAACACCTCCAAGAATATCATGGCAAAGAAATAGGGTGTCACCTATGGAGAGAGTATACGGAGCTCGTATCCGCTGCATAAACGGAGAAAGTAAGACTCAGACCTGCTTTGAGTAGTCAGGGACCTCGGTGACGTGCTGGAAACTGCTGGTGGATGGGAGCTCGAGGTAGAACAGCGGTCGGACCTCCCTCATCATCTTCCCCGCCAATCTGGCGGCAGTTAGAGTAGTCACATTCTCCATTTGCTCTCGCCTGCTTCTCCAGAAAAGACGGCGAAGCTTCAGCAAGCTGACCACCACCGCAGAGGAGGTCGGACGTACGCACGTGCATCATGCAAGAATTATTTCCCTCAAAATGATTGTAGAGGTGTGTACGGCGCCTCATTTAACACGCATGCGCATACGTATAGTGGGCGTGGACGAAGAGTGGGCGGGCTACTGCTGCACGTACGACGTACACGTACACACCAGCGCTTGTCTCTTTCCAGAGGGAGAAATGGAGAATGTGACGACTCTAACTGCCGCCAGATTGGCGGGGAAGATATGGGGGGACGTCCGGCCGCTGTTTTACCTCGAGCTACCGTCCACCAGCAGCTTCCAGCACGTGACCGAGGTCCCAGACTACCTAAAACAGGTCTTTCTCCCTCTCTCTCCGTTTATGCAGGAGATATGAGCTCCGTATACTCTCTCCATAGGTGACACCTTATTTCTTTGCCATGATATTGTTGGAGGTGTTCATAAGATGGATGAAAGGAATGCCGAGAGTTCGTTTCAACGATTCCATCAACTCTCTCAGTGCTGGATTATTTTTGCTCCTCGCTAAGATACTGCTGGGGGGTATAGACATCAGGTGAGTTGTCATGTGACCAATGTATGTGGTCACGTGATTGTCATGTGACTGCAGCCTCTACGTGTGGGTTCACTCGCGGTTCTGTGTGTACGAACTGCCGTGGGATTCGGCCCTGACGTGGATCGTTGCTCTCCTGGGTGTCGACTGCGGATACTACTGGTTTCATCGCATGGCTCACGGTATCTTTTCCTCTATCCCTTCCTCACTTTCATCCTTTTGGTCGCAAAAGTTAATCTTCTCTCTCTCTCTCTCAGAGGTGAACCTGTTCTGGGCAGCTCATCAGACACACCACAGCTCAGAGGACTACACCCTCTCCACCGCACTTCGTCAGTCAACCTGCCAAGTCTTTACCTCCATGGTAAACGGAGGGAGGGGGAGATGGGGAAATTGGAACCTCTCTCTGTGGACACCCCTGAATACGGAGCACACCTTTCTCTAATAAGCACACCTCAAGAACAGTAATGTTTTACCAACCCTCGAAAAAGGACACCTCACTAACATGGCACCTTTTTTCTGTCCCATTTGGTGTCTAGATTAGAGGGGTTCCATTGTTAACAATGGCTCTAGCAAAAACATTTTTGACGTGATTTTTCTTGTGTAGTTTGTGTATCTGCCTCTGGCGCTGTTCCTACCTCCATCGCTCTACTTCACCCACAAGCAGTTCAACCTGCTTTACCAGTTTTGGATCCACACAGAGGTGAGTGTACTGGCAGCTGACAAACCTGTCAATCGAGATTCCTCCCTCCATCGCGACACAGGTCGTCGATCGTCTGGGGGTACTGGAATGGGTGTTGAACACTCCGTCTCATCATCGCGTCCACCACGGTCGCAACCCTTACTGCATCGACTGCAACTATGGTACGTTCAGTGTGAGCAGACATGCTACAGGTAGCACGGATGGTTTTTTCATACCCACATGTCTGTCGTTGTGCTTATTTCATCTCCTTTTCCTGTATTTATGGCTACGCGATCTCTCTCAACTCCTCCATCTCCCAGCTGGTGTTCTGATCATCTGGGACAGAATGTTTGGAACCTTCCAACCAGAGCGTCGCGAGGAAAAGGTGGTGTATGGTCTGGTCCACCCACTCTCCTCATGGAACCCCTTCTTGGCACAGGTACGTATAACTGGCAAACAAGGTTCCCTGCAATCTTCCTTCCCCCTACGTGACCCCAGATACACCACTATGTATACATCGCGAGGAGACTGGTGCGGGGGGAGAAAGGAGAGGGCCTCGCCTTCAAACTGCAGTTCCTTTTCAAAGGTCCCGGCTGGTCGCCAGGGAAACCACGCCTCGGTCTTCGACAAGATATTCCTCAGGTCACCTTCCACCCTCTCCCCTCTCTCCCTCTCTCTCCCTCTCTCTCTCTCCTATCATTTATATCACTTGTTGTTCAGGTTTTTCCAGATGAAAAACCATATGATGCAACGGTGCCGTTCTGGCTGAATGTCTACGTCGCTATACACTTTGTCATTTTGCTGATAATTGCTAGGGTCATTGGAGAAATACACAGGGTTAGTTTCACCTCAATTCTGCCATTCCTACTTCCCGCTAAGTCATTGAATACTAATCGATAATATACTAGAGTATACTGATGATATACTATTGACCTCACAGGGTCTCCCTTGGCTTCAGACGGTGGCCCTGGTATCCTACTGTATGTTCTCACTCACTTGTCTCGGACTATTCCTCGAGCGTAACCCCAGGGTCGTTCCCATGGAGATGACCCGACTGGCTGTGCTTCTCACAGCACTTACTCAGAGTTCCACTGTTTTCGCTGGTGAGTCACTTGTGGGTGTGGCAATGGGTGTGTTTTTAATCAGCCACACTCTGTAGCATTAACTCCATCTCAACTCCACTCCCACTGAGAAGATTAATAACCCTATTCCCACCACACTGCAGGTGCATCGTCAGTATCTCTGGTATTCTCTCATCCTGTCATCCTCATTATACCAGTTGCCACGTCACTGGCACTATGGAGCTTCAAACTGCTGTCTGGCCACGTCCTGACCACACCCACAACAACTAAGACCGATTGAAGACAAACTATGTGCTAATGGACACAGTTATCCAACCTTTTTTGTTACTACACAGGTTTTTTGATTTATATATCAGTGTATGTGTGAGAATTGTTCATTATCTCTTCCGGTGCGCATGCGTATTAAATTTTGACCTTCGACCTGTCCACGTGCGCCGCCGGCAATGGAGGAGGGAGACAAAGTCGTGGATTGTGCCTTCACAGAGAGAGCGAAAAAGAAAGTAAAGCAGCAGAAGAAAGCCGTAAGAAGAGGCGGAGAAGACGAGAAAGATGAGGAGGCGCATGAAGAGCTTCCTCCGCCGAGAGAGCGCGGTGTTATATATCTGGGGCACATTCCGTACGGTTTCTTTGAAGATGAGATGCGGAGTTACTTCTCGCAATTTGGTACCGTCACCAGACTCAAGCTATACCGCAGCAGGAAGGTTAGTAGCTGCTCCTACACACACACACACACACACTTCCCTGTCTTTTTCCATAGACTGGAAGATCCAGAGGTTATGCTTTCGTGGAATTCGCATTCCCCGAAGTTGCGCAGATCGCTGCCGAGAGCATGAACAACTACCTCATGTGCAACAAACTGCTCAAATGTAAGGAAAATTCTTGCATTTTTAAACAATCTGTAATTGTGATGCTCTCCTGTAGGTCACGTTGTGGAACCGGAGAAGGTGGGGAAAAGGATGTTGACGCCCGACAGAAGAGTAGACATCAAGAGAAAAAACTCTGAGAGAGGCACAGAGAACTCACAACAGAGTACGTTGAGAGAATGATGTACCAATTGTACTACTGAGGCCAGTGTTAGTGTATCTTAGTGTCCCCCTCTCCCCCTCTAGCCTCGAACGGTGTCGGAAGTGCAGAAGAGGTGACGCGTTCTGTATCCCGAGAGCAACGGAAAAGAGGAGAAGAGCTGGCAGAGTTGGGTCTAGACTACCAGTTCACTGGTTACCGCAGACTATGTGACACTACCGCTACTGCAAAGACCTCGACCCACATTATCTTCGCTGACGAGGGGGCAGAAGAGGAGGAGGATGAGGGGAGTGAGAAGGAACTAATCATTGAAGGGGCAGAGAGTGAATGAAAGAATTTTTTCAATATCACCATAATTATTTACATTTGTTACAGAATGGATTTTATTAAAGGGTGGGCGGATGTATCAAACGTCGCAGTAGGTCGTCATGATCCGCTGGCGAAGAAAAACCAGACAGCAATATGAATTTTCAAGAGTGGACATGCAACGGACGTACACAATGCAGTGTATTGATCGTAGGGATGTGAGTATGTGAGTCTTGACGAAGAACCCGATGAACCCATCAGCGGCAAACCGATTGCCGTGGTGCCGTGGCAACACGACTACGACTGAAACTCTGTGGAGGAAACAACACACAACACGTTTACTCTCGCTTTCTCTCGCTCTCTCTCTCTCTCCAAAAAACCTTACCTTGCATGTCAGGCTTGCTGGTGCAGCGTCGTTCACGAGTCTCATGAGTCTTTTGCAAAGTCCTTCAGACGCTTACATACTGCTGTATCTGTCCATGGCCGCGGACGATCGCACAATAGACGTCCGCAAAACAAATCTACGCAGTTTCTTTGGTTAGCGTTGTTTATTTAGAGAAACGACGCAGGACGGACCACGCATATACGTCATCACACAGGAGAACGTGGAATGGAATTGAATTAGGGCAGCATGGCGGCGAGCGCGTGCGGCCGTTCGAGGAGCGACCGCAGCGTTATGCGCAGTTCCAAGTACGTGTCAGAGCCGCTGACTGCATACGTCATCCCCACGGATGATGCACATCAAGTTAAGCTTGCTTCTGGCCGCCTGTGTGTAGTCACAGTGTCACCGTACAGCCCCGCCACATCTCATGAATAATTCATAGAACGAGTACATCGCCACTGCGACAGAGGAGGGAGTTTATGACTGGTTTTACCGGATCAGGCAGGTTCCGATTTCCCTCCACACACGCACACACACATCACGTTAAATGTCGTGATCGCGCACAGGATTACCGTGGTAACATGCACACAGAAGGGCTGTGGCTATTTTGGAACGGACGGTTCGCTAACCCCATAAACTTGCAAGCACTCGCAGGAGATTCCAACCTGTACCTTGGGACCTCATGAACAAGTGACTGAATCTTCACTGCAAATATGATGTTGCACTTCAGATGCACATGTGAGACGTGGCATTAACGTATAATTACATCTTTCTCACAGAGTAAAAACATTCAATTATGAGAATAATCTGTATATGTACCTTTGATCTGTCAGGGACCAGTGTGAGTGCCTACGATTGAGGACGTGGATGAGCAACTGGGGTATACTATATAAGAGGAATGTGTGGTGTGGTGTGATAGTAAATACGTCCTCTATACTATATATAGGAACTGGAATCTGAGGGCCAGGAGTGGATGTGACCCACTCTCACCTCTCACAGTGAGCTCTAATCGATCTGAGTTTGTGATGGGAAAGTAGTCAGGATAAGAGTTTGGAAGAGGGTTTAAACCCTCCTCTCCTCCTCTATACTCCCTCATCCACTCGTGTCAGAGGTGTACAATAAGATAAGCTACGAGAGGCACGGAGGTGCACGGGGCAGGTTCTGGTACCACGTATCAGTCATCTGGTGTATCTGGTATGGGACTGCAATCGCCCAGCACGACCCGCGTCAACCCTCATGGTCCTACACACTTCAATACTCTGGCTACAGTATGTATTATTATAAGAGCAGATTTGGTGTCGGGTTCAGTCAAACTCCTGTATAAGTCGTGTTTTGTTTTCCAATCTCATCTTACTGTGATGTGTCAACACATGGTAGAAGGCAGAGGCAGAACAAACTGTACATGTGACGCTTTATAATGGCTGTATTATTAGATTCCATGAAAGGATCCAACAAAACATGATGCACTAACTGTAACGGCTGTGCATTGTCTCCACACATAATTGTAGCGAGGTAGTAGAAAACAGCAAGGCAAGAGCAAACACAGTCAACCACATGATGGTATGCGTTACTCCTTCTGAGTATAGGAAAATCTCAGCCATGAGCACTCCGTGTGTATGCCATTACACTGTCACGTAGAATGTCAAAAACACTTATTTTCTAACATGGCATTATGCCTACTGAATGTCCATATGTGGCCACAGAGTGAAGACTACTGTTTACTGATTGTGCATATGTACGATCCGTTGTGTGTGTGTGTGATTGCTGCAGGTCATAGCTGGCAAGAGAAGGTAGCGATGTCTTAGTAAAAGATGGAGGCACGGTCTGCTAACGTCTCTGTGGTGACAGCCAGTGGACGAGCTAGCTGTGAGTGAGTCCATGAAAGCATATCTTTTAAAACACACAATTTTTGAGAGGGGATATGACTCGATTTTTGTAGGAGGCAAAGCACGACATGTGATCTCTGTTACAATACATCAGCTCAAATCCCTCTCTCTCCTCTTCCCTATCCCCTCGATGTCTGCTCAATCTTCGAGCTCCGACGCTTGACTACAATCCCCTGTATTCTGCCCTATGCAATCATCACCACGGATACCGTCAGATGTGCTAATCACACATGACCTTTAGTGAGTCCACATACACTCATCAGCCGACCCCTGATACAGCTGTACTTTGACGCGGATCTTTTGACAGACGAAAGTTAAGGAGACATCTGTGCGTTGGTGAGTGAGGGAATGGAGTATGGCTACCCACCACCCGTGATAATCGGCTGCTATGGGTTGGACGAACGTCCCTAGCCGCTGCATGTAAAATTTCATAGAGTGTAAAATATGGTTGGTTAACAAACACAGCATAAAAACACACTGTGTGGAAACGTATATTTTGGTCAGATAAACTCTGAGAGTGGTCAAGTGTCTGGTGATGATCTGGTGCCACCAGGGGAGGAGAGTGGTGGAGTTGACGCGCCCATTCACCGCTGCTGTAAGGCAGTCAAGAACGGACTGCGTTCTCGCGTATATGAGGCTTGCTCATGTGTACGACACAACGAGAAGCAGGTCGCAGAAAGAGACGGGTGGGAGGGCTGTCCACTGTGTTCGACTCTGTCACGTCCGACTTCTTCATTTCTGTATTTCTGCCTGCCCCTCTTTGCTTTCAGCAGTGCTTTAGACACTTTGGCCTCCGCTGAGAGTTTTGACCCAAGCACACTACTTTTGCACTCAACTCTAGAACTTGCTGAGCCTACACGAGAGCCTGATAACCACCTAGCCTGGTTGAAACTGGGGAGGATCCAAACTAGTGGTCTCTGTTTTTTGTTAGCCTTCCTTTGTGCCCTCCATTCTCTTTCTCTCTGCTTTCTTTCTCGTCTCTCTCTCTCTCTCAGTCCCATCTAGATCGAGACGGCAGCTTCGCTGCATGTGTGAGTATCTGTGCTGGCTGGAGAGAGATGAAGGAAGAGCGACTGCATGTCACCGAGATCGCTCGGAGCCGACAAACTAGAGACGTCTTTCCGCAGCGAGCTCCAACTATGACATCACAACGATGTCATCGCAGTTTAATGTCACGATGATTCATTCATTTAGGGAGCAACACAGATTTCGTGTCACTTAGTTTTTCCAACATCTCATCGTCTGGACCACACGGAGCATCATACACTACAGTATTAAAAAACCACCCGCACCTATAATTAATCTCAGAATTGACCACGCCCCTGTTTCTGGCTCAGACCCCCACACCTTCAACGGATCGTAGTCTGAGTGTCTTGGAGCTCTATCTGTGTGAGATCAGGGGCTCAGTATCGCGACGGAAACCACCGACGTCACCAGACACTCCATTTTGGCACACCTACTGCACAAGAAAAGGTTATGACATACGTATTAGACATTACTAAGGGACTATTTGTCTTATGGAGAAACTGTGACATTTGCCGCATAAACTGTAGATTGTTGGCTCGGTGAGTTTTGTGTGTAACGTTATGTGACACTAAGATCGGTTTAGACATCCTGAAAAGTTTTTTAGCCTGACCCTTTGCGAAGATTCCTATTTTTTTGTTGTTGTGTTAGGTAATGCTGTGGTAAGGTGTGACATGTACCCTGTAGTGCTCACAGGATAACACGCGTTTCACTGTGGACGTCTTGTACTGATATCATTCCTGCCTACAATGTCTCTTGTACTGCAAGTATGTCACATGTGATCATTGTACTGCACATGTTCAGGAGGACGTCACGTGTTGTGTTCTGAAGGGACACATCGACTGTGCTCGCATCGTCTATCCACACAAACCCACGGTAAGGTGTGATGAAACTGCGCCGGTAAACCATGAAATCCACACCACAGCGTACTACAGTCCTTCTGTGCTTGTGTGCGCATGAATTATAACATTTGCGAGTGAAGATTGGTCCTATAATACTGTGACAAACACCTATAAAATTGGTGTATTTAGCATGCTATACATGCTCTTTCAGTCACAGCGCACTTGTCATGTGTACTCAGAAAATTTGTGTATTCAGACGACAGAGTGTGCTTGCTTGCTCGCAACATCGGGTTTTACAGGGTCTTGGTGAGTTTGTTGCTGTAATGGGGATCAACTCGATAACGAGGCGATAGCCCGAGCCCCGCTCTCTGGACTGCTTTGGTCTGGACTATACACGACACGGGTACATGGACACGGGTGGTACGAGTTCTTTCACTCTGCGTCCACGAAGGTTATTGATAACGACAAAACTCATCGGCAAAACTGTATTCTCAGCGAGACCAGCGCGCACATCTCTGCATGCACAGCATGAGAGGCTTAATAAGACGTAAAAAACAACAGTGTTTCCAACATGAATCATGTACAGGTGCCCATGGTAGCACTATTCATGACCGTACCCTGACGCAGGATTGAGGCTGGAATCGTTTTGTCTGATGGTCAGTGCTCCGCTCTCTCTCTCCTCTACTCTCTCTCTTTCTCTCCTCTCCCCTCCCTCCCTCCCTGCAGCATGCAGGCCCACAAGTGTAGGCAGTCGACCTAGTCAGAACTCCCTCCAAGTCATCCTGTTATTCAGATGGTCAGTCACCACAATCAGCAGCAGTAGCACGATCAGTCGATAAATCTCATATTGCCCGCACTACATTATTAGAATGACTAACATACTACATCAGTATATACCAATCTAGAGCCCACTGTCAGTAGGGATTATTTGCCCCACATCAGTACAGTGGCTAACTCATTTGTTGCCCTAGATCTGTAGAGATGCTAGAAAATCCCTTATCTTGTAGAATCTTCTCCATATATAGCTCTATACTATGTGAATAGCATTTACCAACACAACAATCATGATAGTGACCTTACGCATTATAAGATGGACCTCGCTTCCTCCCCTTTGTCCGTTCCATACTCACTGAGAAAAGAGATTGCCCTTCAAGACACCACAACTGTACATACTGTGGTTATGCGGGAAGAGGGAGAGAGAGAGGGGATTAAATAGTTTGAGCACTCCTAGTGTGTCTTTTATTACCACAGAGCCGGGGCTATACGAAGATGAAATTTGGATAAGAATCGAGAAACGTAGTCGAATTGTGCCAACGCACCACAGGTACGGGTGCCGTCTCCACCAATTTTGTGTGATGACCTGTACATTTTTTGCCAAGAATAATTTTGGAGGGACTGGATTTTGACGATGGAGCCTCGGTGACAATGGTGCCCGTTCAAACGAAGATGATTGAGCCGTCGCTTCTTAATGAGGCACGGTGAGGGGGAGCCGACAGGGAGTGAATGATGTCTGTATTCGCTCAAATTATTGTTTGAACGCTATCTATCGATATCTATTGCACCGTTTGGTGTGGACGGACCCTGTGACCTTGGATTAATTGTGTGTCCGGTGGCCACAGATAACCTGGCTCAATTCATACCCACCCTCGTAAGGGAAAACTGTTGGAACCTATCTCAAGGAAAACGGAAGGACGCGGGCATACCGCTGGTTGCTACGGGAAACCACCCCCCCTGGCTGAGTCCAGGAAGGTGGGACGAACTTCAGTTGATGATAATACATGGACCTTAGCCAACTAGTGACTTGTTAAAATTCTACACATTTTGACCTCTTGTTATTCATTTGGCCCACAGCATAATTGTATATACAAACGTGACTATGAATAATTTGCATTCCATTACGTATGTTACTAAACATAGCACAACCCACTCATCTCTAGCGTTTACACTCAGCAAATTTGAACAAGCAGCAAATTTTGAACAAGCGGAACAACCTTCTAGAAGAATCTGAGAGTTTAGTCACTGAGTGATATATACACAGAGTAACAGGTGCATGGGATATAAAAATGAATGAAAAACACAAAAAAAGGACAAACAATAAAATTCTAGAAGAAGTCTATTTCACAAGAAGCATCTGTTGTGACGATACTCGAGGTCCTAGCAGTACTTTCCCTGACTTGTCTACGTGGATCACATGACTGTCACGTGACACGTGGACCCCGCTCTGTCGCGAGTATCTCTGATACACCCTCTCCTCCGCGGCCTTCGACCTCGCTTTCAGCGTCACTATCTCCGTTTTCAGCTGTTCGTACTTTGACCTTAGTCCGGCCTTCTGTTGCGGAGTTGCTCGACTTCATCGTCGAGATCTGTCAGTTCGTCTCGCTTCCTTTTCCTCGCGATCATGGCAGCCGTTTTGTTTTTCCCTCGTCTTCTCCATTCCTTCATGAACGCCACTTCGATTTCGTTCAGCGTGGTGACATCGAGAAGCCGGTTGAATTCCTCGACGGGCATCGAAACCAGTCTTTCTCGTGTGACTGGTTTGGAATCGGGGCCGGGTGGATGTGCTAGGACCTTGACAAGAATTTCGTCTTCCGATTGCCCGAAGAGAAGGGGAGAAGACTTTGCCAGTTTTTCGGACGATGATGAAGAGGAGGAGGAGGAGAGGGGGGCGACGATGGGTTTGGTTTCAACAGGAGAGGCCGGTGAGCTCGGTGCAGGGGTGGGGGCGGGGGAGATGTGCATGTGTGAAACGGGTGACGAAGCTTCAGAAAGGGCGAGGGGAGACCCCATCAATCTCTTCATCGGCGGAAGAACGACGTCCCAGTCCTGAGGAATGTCAAAAAAGTCAAGTTGCTCCTCTAACGACAGGCTCTGTCCTCTGCTGCTCGCTGCTGCTGCCGTTAGGTTTTGGATGTGGAGATCAGTGGGTGTGTTGCGCGAGGGGGAGACCGAGGGAGTGTGGAAGTGTGAGTGTGGGGAGGAGGAGGGGAGGGGGAGATCGCGGTCAAGTGGTGGGAAAGCTTCGAGGAGCGGCGTTAGTTCGGAATGAGATGTGGAAGGCGGAGAGGACCAGAGGGTGGGGGTCTCTGCCTCGCCAGGAGGAAGAGGCAGTGAGTTGCTGGCAAAGTTCATTCCTCTCGCCCATTTATCGCCCTCACCACTCCACGTGTCCATCGGCTGTTGCATCATCATCGTCGGGGGCGATGCGGACGAGGAAGACGGGGAGGACCCTCCCTCGGAGAATAATCCCGGCGGGAACGTGTCGAATATCCCCGTTGTAGCCGAGGGGATTGCGAAATCCCCGGACCCCCTCTCCTGGGGTTCGGTGTTACGCGGAACGAACGTAGACATGAGGGAAGTGAAATCCGACTCGGACATTTTGAAGAGATTATCGAGTTCGGTTGACGGCGAAACGGCTTTCGTCGTTGGCATGGTGAGGAGATTTTCGAGCTCCGAGTTTGTCGCCCCCTTATTCCCCACGGTAAATTGGACCCCCAGTCCGTTGCTGGCCCCGCCCACCCTGTCCGTAAGGTCATGTGACGTCTTCTGAGGAGTGGGGTAGGTGGAGTTCGGGATGACGGTATCGAGTGGGTATGCGGGGACGGGATTTTCAAAGGAGTACATGTTTGGGTTTAAGCTCGGGTTGATAAAGAGCTCTGCGTATTTCGAAGAGTTGAGGTAATCGTACGCTGGCTGGGTGTTGGAGAAGATGATCTGTTTGGTTGGCAAGAGGGGTTGCTTGTTGGGGAATCCATGGCCAGTCTTTTGCACCATCATACGTCCTCCGTAAACTCTCTGTAAAAGCACAAATAAGGGACGGATAAACGACTGATTGCGCATTGGCTGCCGCATGCAGATACAGTTGCGGGGTTGTGCAACTTTCGCCGTGTTGCAGAGTCGGGTTACGTCATACCCGCCGTTCAAAACGTACGCCAAGTCTCTGAATTACGTATTATAAGACCTAGAAGTTTACTTACCGACTGCACGGCGTTGTTGAGCGGCGGCGATTTCTGTACGGTCTGAACGGGATCTCCGCGCACCATCTTTCGCTATTTCTAGTCCACCGACACTGCTGTCGAGATAAATAGGATTCTGCAGAAATGAGGTCAGGATCTCCGGCCGCCTTTTATACCCGCGGAGGTCGAGAGTCGTGACAGAGGAGGGAAGGGACAAATTCCTGCGGTAATTTGTAACGTAAAACAAACACGCATGTGACCGTATCCGGAGACGTGCGCGGACGCGCGCGGGAAATTTGTCCGCGAGCTGACTCGTGACGTCAGCAGTCAGCTCTCGAGGTCGGGTCGGTGCGCGTTAATTTGAAAAATCGCCCACGAGTTTGGCGGCACAACAACTGGGGGACTGTTACTACCGTACGAGGCTCAGAGATGGTAAGGAAGTGGTGCCTGTCCCAAACCCTTCTAGGCTTTCCTGTTTTTTTCCGACCCCTGATGAAATACTCACCCGCGTATGTCACCGACGCGGGAAAATTTATCGCGTAATGTGTAGCTAATGCCTTTCTGTGTACGACGCAGGAGGCTCTGTCTCTCGCCACGGTGCACGGTATTCTCATCCTCGACAACGACGGCAAACGAATCCAGTGTAAGGTGCGACTACTTTTCTAGTGGTGGGCGGAGTCTTTAATAATTGTCTTTCTGGCAGTATTTCTCCGATACGTTTCCGACTCTGAAAGAGCAGTTGAAATTCGAGGAGACGCTCTTTCGCAAGACACACAAGGCAAATGGTTGGTACTGGAATAGCCATGCCGTGCAATTACCTGTCCTCTCCGTCTCTTTTTCACCCTCCCCCCTCTCCCCTCTCCCCTCTCCCCTTTCTAGCTGAGATTATAATGCATGACGGTGTGACCGCTGTATATCGCAGCAACGTCGATCTTTTCTTCTACGTCCTCGGTGCTCAGGGAGAGAACGAGGTTAAAATTTTAATCCCTTCTATCACCCCCTTCTGCCTCATAATATATACCCTCTCTACAAGTCGTTTCCCGTGCACACACAACGCAGCAAAGTGTGATGTGTTATGTTCCTGCAGTTGATGTTGATGGGTGTACTCAATGGCCTCTATGACACAATCAGCTATGTACTCAGGTTAGTTATCTTACTGCTATTTAGTCCGAAACTTCGCTATTATGATATTTTCGAGCAGTAAAACTGGCCATGCACTGCCGATGTGTTGAACCATTCCTTCCAAATCACTATCTTAACCACGCACTGCGTGGTCTGAGCCTGAGCCGTTGGTAATTTAAAAAAAGGTTTTAACAGATGAAAGGGTTGACGCTACACCACTATCACCACAGGTAGGAAGTTGCCAGTGTACCTTGTGGTGTACCTTTAAGAATATTGCTTCCTCTCTGTACACTGGTGTGATGGACCCATACCGGGATTCAGACCATATATACTATATATATATATTATATATATTTGTATGATGTAATGTATATACGACTTCCATGACCACACGTAGGAAATCGCTGTAAATAAACTTCCTCTATATGTGTGTGTTTCTGTCTCTACTACGTTGTGTCTGTTTGTGTGTCAGGCGAGCGGTGGAAAAGAGGAGTCTTTTAGAGAGAATGGACGCCGTTTTGCTTGTCATGGATGAGATTGTGGATGGAGGGTGAGGAGGGAGAAAGAGGGAAGAGAGGGCGGGCGAGGGAAGGAGGGAGGAGAAAGAGGGGGGGGGGGATGAAAGCAAGGAGTTAGGCGGGAGAGAAATTTGAAAGAAGGGGAACTGTAAGAAGAGGTGGATAACAAAAGTAGAGGAAGGAGTGAGAGAGGGATATATTATTATCTCCACAGAGTGATAATGGAGACAGATCCCAGTGTTCTGATGCAGAGAATTGCCATTAAGGCGGATGATCCAGAGCAGTCGGTCAAGAATGTGAGCCCTAACATAATTTTGCAACACAATAATGCTGCTTGTTTTCATGCACATTATGTGCAGCATGGTTTCATAATACTGGTTCTCTCTATTCATGTGATAATGCCTGCATTACTTGATTCATTAATATACTCACAGCATAAGGACGTGTGGTTGGTTGCCTTGCCTCTCACACCTCATTGTTGCTTATATACTGCATGTGTATTTCCAACTGTGCAGATGGTGCAGTCAGCGAAGGAGAATATGCGATGGACCGGCCTTCTAAAGAGCTAAATCATTTGTGTATCACATCTATCTGCCCCATGCCTCAACATCGAAACTCTACATATTACACACACACCTGACGATCATGTGAAATTCAAAGATGATTTTTCACAAACAATTGCAACACAAGAGGAGAAACTGCTATTATTATTATTATATAATATAATAATGTTGCACTTGCGTGTGTGTGTGTGTGCGTGTGGGTGTGCATGTTGTTGGAGGAAATAATCGTGTTTGGCAGTTTCCGTGGCTACTGCTCTCCAGACACGCCCACGGGTGAGTCGTGTGGCGAAGAAGATTCTGCTGCCGGATGTATGGCCTCAGTTGACACTGAATCTGACGATGACTGTATGGCTTCTGCCGGAGGCTCAGTTTCCACTGCAATGACAAGAATTTGAAAAATTTAATTTCTCTCTTGTGTCAAAACTTACTTGCAGGTTCCTCTTGTTCTGCAGTGATTTTTTCGTTGTTCTCTTCGGTTTTCTCATTAGCAGTGTCCTTCTCCCCCACCTCTTGTGGGCTGTCCTTTGCTTGTGTACCATTTGTCTCTCCCTCCTCATCTTCCTCTCCCTTCACCTCCTCTCTTTTCCCTTCTTCCCCCTCCTCACCCCCTCCCTTTTCCTCGGGGACTTGTTCTGACGATTCCGACGACATTCTCTCCCCCTCTTCTCCCTTCTCCCCCTCTCCTTCCACCCTCTCCACTTCAGTATCTTCCGCCTTGCCATCTTTATCAGCGGTATCTAATGAGGTTGATTCATCTTGTTGTGAAGTGGGTGGAGCTTCATCTGTGGTGGGTGTGGCTTCACTGATAGTTTCTGCTGAGTCAGCACCAGTACTAGTGGTGGGCGTGGCTTCAGTGTCGGTGGGTGTGGTTTCTTGAGTTTGTTCGTTCGGAGGGGGTGTAGTCTGTTTGGTGACAGGCGTGGCTTCTTGATTAGTTTGTTCATTGGTAGGGGGTGTGGTTTGATTAGTAGAGGGTGGGACTGTTTCATCAGTAGTGGGTGTGGTCTTAGTATCGGTGGGTGGAGTCTCATCAGGAGGTGGGTCTTCAGTAATATTGGTGGGTGGAGTTTCAACCTCAGGGGGTGGAGTCAACGTTTTTGCTGATTCAGCAGTTACTGGTATAGGCTCGCTGACTGCTGACTCAGTTCCCTGGGGCTGATCTGTTTCCATGGCAACCTCATCACCACCTTCCCTAATCTCCCCACCTTCCTTCGCACCCTCCCCAGACACACCACTCTCCTCACCAGGTGTAGCCATGGTAACTGATGACTCATCAATTTCCTTGGCAACAGGGGTGGGGTCACTTGGTACAGAGTCATTTTCTGGTTTCTCAGGTGTCGCTGCCACAGCAACAGTTGCCACGGTATCAGTAGAACCGGAAGCTTGTGTGACGGCTGAATCTGATTGGTCCATTGGAACCTGCCCTGCGTTAGTTTTGGCCTTTGACCCCTCGGAGTCGGACTGTATGATCGCCATGGTAGCGGAGGGTTGTGAGGGTGTGAGGAGTGTGGGGGAGCGCAGTGGGGGGCGAGAGGGGGGAAATTGGAGGGGGGTGGAGGGGGCCGCGGCGAGGGTCGGTGACTGGAGTGCCCGGAGCTCGGAGGCCTTGATCTGGTCTCTCTGGAACTGCTGACGGTCGGCCAGCAACTGCTGACGCTGCAACTCCAGCTGCAGTACATACAACATGGGGAGGGAATAAAACATCACCGTGGAAACGGGGAATCCCCGTACATCAAATCCCACCCCCACCCCTTCTGCAAAAGATTGATGTTGTGTTATGTACTATATACCGTCTCTCTCTCTCTGTCCATAATGGTCTCCAGTTCCTCGAAGTGTTTCAGCTTTATCTCCAGTTTCTTCATCTGTGTCTCCACCAGCAAGGCCACCAGACTCTTTATCTTCCTCTCCTCCACTAGGGCAAGGTGCTGGCGGAGGAAGAGGGAGATATTAAAGGATCGAAAAAGGGACGAGAGAGAGAGAGAGAGAGAGAGAGAGAGAAGGGGGTTGGTTACCTTAGCCTTCACGGCGGCTGCTGCGAGTGCAGAAGCAGCTGCTGACTGCACGGAGTTCTCGCCTGGCATGGACAGTGCCTCGGGCAGTGTTCCTCCTCCCTCACCTCCCTTATCCCCCGATTTTTCCACGCTCTCCTTCACTCCCTCTTTCCCGCTCGCCTTAACCCCTTCCTCACCACCGCCACTGCTCTCTTTAACCCTCTCCCCACCAGCGGAGTCCTTCGTGTCCTCTCCGTTCTTCTCCCCTCCTGGTTTAGAGGCATTCTTTGCCAAATCTTTAGGCAACTCTTCCTTCATCTTTGTAAACTCAGCTGCACCAGAACACAAATAAAATATTATCACAGAAGCCTTTACAATTTGCTCAACCCCTAATCTTGACACTCAAAATTCCCTTCGTTAACTCTACTACAACAAAATAAACACAGAGACTCTCAAAATTTTAACCTTACACTAAAAATTTTTTCCAGCTTCAAGGCATGGAAAAACGCAAGGGCCCACAAAATTTTTTTCACCCCTAGAACCCAGACACTAAAATTCTTTTACTCTATGTTCTTACTCCACTTCACCATAATTAGATACGAGGCGTACAAATTTCGTTGAACCCCAGACTCCACACAAGATGGAGAGTTACCGAGAGCAGCTTTGGCAGCAGCCGAAGCGACGCGAGGATCGACGACGGACGCGAGAAAAGCCACCGTCGACATGACGGGGTTTCCCTGGTGACTGAACGGGACCGGCTGAAAGGCCAGAGGGCCCAGTGACACCTCTTCAAGGTATCTGTCCTCGATGGGTAGTTTTAGGAAATGGAGGATGCATTCGTCTTGGGTCCGTGAGCTGACGTGCTGGGCCACTTTGTTCCAGTCATCTTGATGTAGTTCCAGAGCCTTGGGGAGAGAGAGAGAGATGGTGCTCAAATCTGCAGGTTTAACCCAAAACGTTTTCTCAATGCAAGGAGATGGGTCACACCTCAAGTAACAGCAGTGTCTCCTGCTCAGTCCACGGCTTCATTGAGCTGTCCTCCTTGCCGTATACACCCCCCCTCAGTCTGTGGGGAGAGGGTTAACGTGTAAACTACCAACACAAGCACACACACACACACACCAGCTGACCCACGACGATACATATTTGCCAAGTTAGGGGTATCAATTAGCACAAACTAATGCTCCCGGATGATGGGAAACCAACATCTGCAACTTTGTTAACGACAAAAGGATTGTGGGCGAGTGACTTGCCCAAAGTTGCCATTGGTCAGAGTCTCTCCGTCCTTCTTCCTGTCAGTCAGCTGCACCAGCTGGTCCGAGGCCGACTGGCCCGTCTTGGAGGGAGGGAGAGGCTGGACACCCATTGGGGTGTCCACCTGGGACGAGGGAGGGAGGGAGAATGGGGGGACAAGCGACAGAGAGGGAGCGAGAAAAAGGGAAGGTGCGACAGAGAGGGAGCGAGAAAAAGGGAAGGTGTATGAGAGAATAAGTGTTTGGAATTAGAGCAAATTTTTAAAATAGGGATCACTAAATTTTTAAGAGAAAATTTTGCATTTGCTGGACCACGAGAAATTTTTACGCGAATTTTTACCATGATTCCAAAAGGATTGTGTGAATGGGAGAGAGAGATACCTGAACATTGAAGTGGGCGGTGGAAGGTGGTCCCATGGAGTGGACCTGCCGCTCGTTGTCCACGTGGTAATTAGTGAGACCCCACTGCTCCAGAAAGCCATGGACACGCAGGATGGCACCCACGTCGCCCGCCAGGTTTCTACGGCAACTCGTCACCGAGAGATACTCTGTCGGGTTGAGGCGGAAGCTGTCGATCATGAAATTCCGATACGCCAGGTAGCTGCAGAGAAAGAGAGGAGAGATAACAAAAACCTAGTTACTGCATTTATGACCAATTTACTTGAAACTTGCAGGCCTAATAAAAATGGGTGTAAACTAGCATAACTGGAATATGGCAATTTTGCCGGCCTGAGAAAAATTGGAGAAGCAATACATTTTAGAAGGGCAACTGTAAATACTTGTGGGAGGTATTCGCCTCAAATTGGCCTGAAAGAGAGAGAGTGAGTGCAACGGTTTTGAGCCCACATTTCTGGCGTTTTCGATCTGTTCTTTCCGTTGAAAAACTCGGGCAGCGATCTCTTCTCAATGGCGTTGATGGAGTTGTAGTGGAACCAGGCCGAATAGCTGGGAATGATGATGTTGTGTGCCTGATGAACCACGACCTCGGTCCCCGGGAAGGAGTCTTTGGACGAGAGGATCCGACGCTCCTGATCGGAGAGGGAAGACGATGACGGCTGGCCGTTTGATGATGTCGACGTTGGTGGCGGCTCTGGCTTCATGGCTGAGGAGGGGAGGAAGATATATGTATACAGCACATTTATACAAATACAGCACATTTCTCCATTTCTCCATCATAACCAAAGGAGACATTGAATTTTCATAAATTTAACACCTTCAAAACACTCACAACCGAAATTTAAGAAGGAAAGAGTGTGAGACTGACCGTCGCCTGATTGCTGCTGTGGTTGTTGTTGATATGATGCCGTTTCCATGGAAGCCGAAGACTGTAGTGACGAAGTGGGTGTGGTTTGTGGGAGAGTGGTGATGCTGGATGGAGCTTCCTTCGGAGGAGACACCATCATTGTCCCCGACGACCCCGCATTCGACGAGGCTTGGGAGTTCGTATCCATGGCAACCTCGTCACTCGGGGCAACAGACACGGGAGTCAGTTCTAGGAGTTTGGCCGTGGTGGGTGTGGCTTCAGGAGAGACAGTAAAAACAATCTTTTATCTTAGGCGTAAATAACATTAATAAAAATGGGGTGGACTATTGTACTTCAGAGTATGCTTCCTTGAGGAATTTGAGGAAAAAGGGGGCCTCAACTTTCGTACTTTTAGCAACCTGCTAGTCAAGGGAAGGACAGGGCAACCAGGCATCCTAATACTGACTATAGCTGGAGAATGCAGCCCCTCCTTCCCTTTGTCTTTCTTGCCTCTCTGACCTTCTCTGGAGAGAGACTGCAGAGGGACCTCTTCGACCTTTGGCAGAGGAGCTGGGTTGGGCATCTCCTTCGTCACGTCTTCCTCGACAGCTCCTCCCTCTCCCTCCCCCTCCTCTCCTCCTCCTCCCACTCCACTCCCCTGGTCGTCGTCACGGATACGGGGAGGAATGCGTCGAGTGGTGGCCGTCTTTTTCCGTTTGCTGGACCCCCTCAATTCTGCCACGGGGGGCGAGGGGGTTCGCCGACGTTTGGATCGCGACCTCCGCGACCCTAGCTCAATCGGCTCAGGCTGAGGAAAAAAACAAAATTTGATCAGGAACCTTACATATACATGTATATAGTTTGCCTGTAGGCTCAAACGTTTTTCAGGGAAATATTTGCTGGCTCAAACTTTTTTCAGAGAAAAAGTTTGCTACGTACGTACCTCTTCATGTGGTATTGAAATTTTGACTGCTTTCCTCCGCGTGAAGCCGAGATACGGTGCCGTGGGTTTTAGTCGACCGTCCTGTTGAAAAAATCATAGTAACAATTACTAGTTGATAAAATATACCGTCTGGAAGTTGAGGCGATAAAGAATTTGTAAAAATGCACTTTCTCAAAAAAAATTAGACGGAGGTAAAAAACCCATTGATTGCAGAAAAGCAATTATAAAGATTGGAGTGCGTACCACTAGAAGTAGCTCATAATCTTCTTCGTTCATCCACTCGTTGTAGAGGTCAGAGTCCGTGAGCCAACGACTGCTCACCCACCACTGCTTTTGTTTGGTGGGCGGGGTCTCCACCGAGACTCCGCCCAACTCACTACTCGGAATCACATTGTCATAGCTGCCAGAGAAACAGAGAGCTTCAAATGTAGAAGATGTAAAAGTATCGAGAGAGACATTTTTGACTGGTGATATTTTTGATGCGCACCAAGTAAAATTTTGCAGCTTTCGCAAAAATTTCGAGTCGATTTTCTGGTTTCTTTCTTGTACTGCTACCGCTGCAGTATTGCAGACTGGATGTTGTATGTACCTGTCTGGGGTGTACCACCAGTGAACGGTTGCGTTTCGTCCCTTCACGGTAACTGGTCTGAAGAACTCGTCTCCAGGACTCTGGGAGGGGGGCGGGGCCGGGTAGATCACATGACTTGCCGACGTTACTACGTCAACCACTGAACCCTGTACAGAGATGACACAATTCTCAATTCCATTTTCCCTCATCATCATCTATATTCCCTGCTTTCCCTCAACTTTATAAGCACTCGCCCTATCCTCTCTCTATCTTCCTTCTTTCCTCCCTCCCCCTCCCCACCCCCCTCTCTCTTTCTCACCTGATGTCTTTTGACAATCTCAGTCAACTGTTGCACAGTCTGTCTGGAAACGGAAGAATCGAAGAAAAGTTTTGGAGGTTCCCAAACTTTACTCTGGACCAAATCTCTGTGGATGGTAATAAACAGCTCCATTCCTCTGTCAATCCGCGCAGGTGAGTGAAAATCAAATCTCCGCCTGCAAAAATGTTACCTAGCCGTGTAAAAATTTTAGGTTTTTTGTGCGACTTGCCAGGATTGTTCAGTTTTGACTCGATAGGCTGTTGTTAGTATGTGGCAGAGTGAGCCGCCCGGGTTGAGGTCGTCGAATAATGGAGCCGGTAGTTTCGTTAGGGCGGGGTTGCTGACGTGACGACCCATCGCATCCTATAGGACACAATCAAACGTCCTGATTCAAACGAGACATCAGTCGCCTACCTCCTGGAACTGTAGCATGACGCACACCAGCATGGCCAGGTTCTTGTTGCTGGGTGGGTCCGCCTGCGTGTACTGTGTGCAGAGAGAGAGAGGGGTAAGGGGTAGGTGCGCGTTATATGGAATCACAGCCCGCGCAATTTTTCTCCCCCGCGGCGCGGTGCGCCAGCGTTTTCTTCTCTCTTCCGCGCGCTCCGCCAAGAAACGTAGAGCTACTCACCTTCCTACAGTTCTTCAGCAGCCACTGCTTCACCGGTTCGAACTTGGCCACCGTCTCGGGCGCCTCGAAGTGCTTGCTGTCCGGCGCGCCGTTCTTTTTTCTTGTCACCATTCTTCTCTCTCCTCCCCACCTCGGGCGCAGGACCTCTTATAGCTAGTTGTCGGTTTACTGGAAGAGCTTTTCTATCTGTTGTGGTCGAGCGGTTTTTCGAAAGGGCGCGCGCCACGAGGTGGTAAATATTTTACGGTTGACCCGATAAAAGTTTTCAATCTAAGAAAACGCTATAATAAAAAAAGTGGGCGTGTAAAGAAAGATGGCGTCTTCTGCAAAGGTGTTTTCTCTGTCGCGCGCTGCTTGGAAGCTGGCTAGATGCTACAGCCAACCGGCGACAGGGGTGAGCTACGAATAAATCTCTATTTTCACCTCTCTAGCTAACAAAACGACTACACTCACCGTCGGTGCGTTGGTGCACCAATAATTTTCCATTTTATATTTCTTCCCCAACGCTGCAGCCCGTTGGGTTTATAGGGCTCGGGAACATGGGGCTGCCGATGGCCCAGAATCTCGTGACTCGTGGCCACCAGCTGGTGCTGTACGACATATCTCCCGGGAGAGTGGAGGAGGTGGGAGGGGGGGGAGGGTGTGGCGAGTCCGGCAGAGGTGGCTCGACGAGCCCACACCGTCATCACGATGCTGCCCTCGGGGAAGAACCTGATGGATTGCTATGCCGGGGAAGGCGGTATACTCAGGTAGGGAGAAATACAACACTTTGTATATTCGTACGTCTAGTTTATCACATATAAGTCTAGGGTGAAGTGTATAATAGATACAGTATACAAGAGCTGTGCAGTCTGAATGGAAGTTATGAGTAGACCATTCGGAATGGTAGATGTATACTGTGACAGAAAAAAGTATGAGATATTTGAGTAATAAATGAGTTGAGAAGTTGTTTTTTTCCTCTTTTCCCTCTCCCCCCCACCTCTGAATCAACAGTGCAGTCCAGCCAGGCTCTCTCCTGATAGACTCCAGTACAATAGCACCGGACGAAGCGAGAGAAGTGGCCAAACTGAGCAGAGAAAGCTCAGCAGAGTTTATCGACGCTCCGGTGTCTGGAGGTATGTGTGTATGAGAGTGTGGAATCCTCTGAGAATGGAGGTGTGTATGAGGTGAATCCTCTGATGGAATGGATGTCTAGTGTGTATGAGAGTATGGAATCTCTGAGATGGAGGTGGTGGTATGAGAGGTATGATCTTGGATGTGAGAGGGTGGAGTTGAATGGGGTTTGAGAGTGTGGAACCTCTGAGATGGAGGTTGTGTGTATTGAGAGTGAGAGTATGGAATACTCGGAGAGATGGAGGTATGTAGGTAGGTGCGATTATGAGAGTGTGAATCCTCTGAGAATGGAGGTATGTGTGTATGAGAGTATGGAATCCTCTGAGAATGGAGGTGTGTGTATGAGAGTATGGAATCCTCTGAGAATGAGGTATGTGTGTATGAGGTGAATCCTTGATGAGGTGTGTGTATGAGGTATGGTCCTCTGAGAATGGAGGTGATGTGTAGAAGTGGAATCCCTGAGATGGAGTGTGTGTATGAGTAGGAATCCTCTGAGAATGGAGGTATGTGCGTATTAGAGTGTGGAATCCTCTGAGAATGGAGGTGTGTGCGTATGAGAGTGTGGAATCCTCTGAGAATGGAGGTATGTGTTGCAGGAAATGTTTGATTTTTAGCCTTTTTGTAGGAGTGGGAGCAGCAAGAAGGAATTCTGTCGTTCCTTGTGGGTGGGGCCAGCGAGAATTACGCCAAGGCCACACCCATCCTGGAATGCATGGGGAAAAACATCATTCACTGTGGTGACCATGGCAACGGGCAGGCCGCTAAAGTATGTAATAACATGCTGCTGGCCATTGGAATGATCGGAACCAGTGAAGCCTTACAACTTGGGATCAGGTAGGCTGATAGTCATGCTACTATCACATGATCTAACGCCTCTTTCAACAGACTTGGCTTGGATCCCAAAGTCTTATCAACCGTAAGTTAACTCGTCATGTGATCAATCATGTGATATGTTTACTGGGTCACATGACCCTCAGGTGATCAACAGTGCCAGCGGGCGTTGCTGGAGCAGTGACATTTACAACCCCTGCCCTGGAGTAATGGAAGGGGTTCCCTCAAGTAATGACTATCAGGGAGGCTTCGGGACGGCTCTCATGACAAAGGTTTTTTTACTGTGCTTTTGCTGGGAGATAAATTTCACATTATAGCTTTACAAATTGCTTGTCCAGTTGTATTGTCCACACACACACCACACAGTTCCACTGAGAATATTTAAAACAGGCAGTTTTTGCGCTGCGAAACTTCAGCACAAGTCTTCTCCCTCATTAATGTCTTCCACTACCATTAACATTGTCTCGTAGTTTCTACGCTCCATCCTCCCTCTCTCTCTTCTCTTCGCGATCTCTCTTTCTCCACGCAGGATCTGGGATTGGCACAGACGGTGGCCAATGCCTCGGGGACAGTGACTCCACTGGGATCACTAGCTCTCCAGATCTACCGCCTAATGACACAGTCTGGCTACTCTGGCAAAGATTTCTCCTCAGTCTTCAAATTTCTTGAGGAAAAACAGCATTAGATTTATCAGCCAAGCAATTACCCGTATAGCTATTAGGCAACCTATATTTTTGTTCAGATCCCATCTAAATAAGTGTATTATGGACTGTTGAAATTTCGCACCAACAATAATAGAGTAGTGTTGAAAGAGAGAGAGAGAGAGGTAGGGTGGTGTAAATTGTGCTATTTTCTGATGTGAAACATGAATCTCGGAGTGCCCCGCACTGCCATCTTTGTCAACTCCATTCCCTCATCTTCGTCGCTGTCCGAATCTCCTCCGAATGCCTTCGTCATTAGCTCTCTCTGTCGACTCATCAGTGGCGGGGGCCCAGGGGCCGCCCCTTTGGGTCCCTCGCTTTTTGATTTCTTCGGTTCCCCCTCCGAGGGGTCCGATTTGGCCGGTTGCGATTGAGTCTTCTTTTTCGAGAATCCGAAGGAAAATTTCGACCCCTCGTATTCAGCAGACCCCTCTCTACTTGATCTGTCGTACGTCCTGATAGATTGTGTCCTTGTGGCAGGCGAGCCCTCCCTCACGGAAGATTTTCCAGGACGAGGTTGAGTCTCCGGAGGCCCCTCCTCCTCCTTCGTCATGCTGTCCTGATAGCCACGCCCCTTCTTCCCGGCCTCGTCCATGCGGGTCTTGTCGCCAACGGTAACCAAATTCCCTGCCGATTGGAACTTAAGTCCTCCGTATTTTGAGAGCCGGGACTTCTTCTCAGCAGCCTTCCCACCGTCTTCACTGGGTCTCTTAACACCAGTGTCTGCACTATCTACATATTGACAGACGTCATAATTATATATACATCTTAGTTGTGACTTCTAAAATCCGAACCTTGAGCTGGACCAGAGGCAATTTCAGGAGTTGGTCGTTGAAATGTAGTTGAACCTCCACTTATGGGCTTGAAACCTGGAGCTGTCTTTCTTCTCGATTGCCTGTCACGACACACGTCAGAGATAAGTCTACACCACACCAGTAAATTTCCGACTCGTACCTCTGCCGCATGTAGGCCTTCTCCATGGCAACCTCGTAGGCTGCTCTCAGTTTCTTCTTTTCTTCTTCCTCGCGATGACCTCCGAACCTTCTCCCGGCCTCCCACTGCTTCAGATCCTTCAACCTCTGTGAGAGATTGGTCGGTTCATCTCTCTTCTCCCTTCTCTTTCTCTCCTCCTCTTACTCTCTTCTCCTCTCTTTCTTCTTCCCTCCCTCTCTTTCATCTCCACTTCTTTCTCTCTCCCTCTTACTCTCGTCCATTCTCCTTCTCCTCCTTTCCACTCTTTTTCTTTTTCCCAACTCCCTCCCTCCCTCCCTCCCTCTCTCATCTCCACTTCTTTCTCTCTTCCCTCTCTTCTTTCCTATATACCCTCTTCATTTCTTTTCGTTTCCCTCCCTCCCTCTTCCTCACCTGTCGGTGATGATGGTCATATGAGTTGAGGTGATTGTCATACTCTGAGTATTTGAAGTACTGTTTGTCGCACAAGTCGCAGTAAAACGATTTGTTCATCTCTAGAATCGTCTCCACCAGCTTGTCCTCTTTCTCTGCCTGCATCTGAATCACAAAAAGAATATATTATCATACCAAAAAACTCACCAGACCAGCTAAACGTGTTACTAAACCGGCCAATCACTTTCATCCACCAAGCCAGTTAAACCAGTTTTTTAGCTCACGATTACGTTTCCGCACTCACTAAACAGGTAAAACCAGTTTCCCTTCCGTGAGCCCATTTAACCCTCTAAACCGGTTTCTCTTCCATCTTGAACCCACCAAACAGGTCACACCAGTTTCTCCACCTTGTATTTCTCCACGAGGTCGGAGGTTATTTCTTTCTCCGTCTCCAGCTGTCTTCGTTTGTCTGTAGTGTCCTGAGCTTGCTCTACCTGTATGCCAAGGTCAACTCAACAAATAGACACACACGCACACACAACTCCAATGCTCTAAGTGCAGATGAGGACTGAAGTATTTCAAGATGTGGTGGAAAACAGAAAACAGGTTCACAGTGTTTGCAGTTGTTCTTCAATGCAATGGTCATCATCGCCCATGCTTTGACAATCAGTCCTAGGCTGCTAAAATTGCGTACATATCTCCCTCACAAATTTGCCACTATTATATTAGACACGGTTGATCTTTAGGCTAATCGAACCTCATAAGTCCATCTTCCGAGTCCCATGTTGTCATCTTTCAGTGCCAGTGGAACGGGCTCAAGACGACCTGCGTAACAGGGAACAATGGATCTTTCTCTTTACTCTCCCTCTTTCTCTGCTCCCTCTCACCTTGTCCATCTTTCCCCAGACCCGTGCCGCTCTTCCATCCCATCTTCTGGACCAACCTGTACCCCATATTGCTCTGGAGGAGAGCAGACAAGGACTACACCTGCCCAAGACACACACACACACACAGTCACTTTTACGTCATTTCTTGGCTATATACAGCCAGGGGTTAACGGGCAATCATTGCAGATTGTTTGTTAAGGTAAGGGCGGTGTATTCGGAATGGGTTTTAATGTGTTTGAAGCACTAAATGTTGTCCATCTCGCTTTTTTCTATATATAATCATAGGTTAAGCGTGAGCTGTTAGGATCCAGAACTAAAGCCACGCCCACCTCTCCTATGTGTGTCTCGAGTGACATGGTCTCCTCGGGTTCAACTCCCTCCACATACTCATCGTATCCCGTTGTGTCGCTGGACTGAAAACAAAAACACACATCCATGGGTAGAGAAAAGGAGAGACGCCTGTCTTGTTGGCTTTTATAGGGTACGCGTGGTGCTACGACGTACTAGTTTCTATCGTACGCCGGCCAACTCACCTTGTAGTTTCGCTTCTCGTTGAATCGAGAGAAAGAAAGCTTGTCCATCCTATTTAGTGCCGCCCTTCGTACCCTCAAAAATATTTTTAGTCGCACAACTAATTTTTGACGCAGTGCACGTGATCTAGACCACGCCCCCTCGCGCTTGGTGGCCCCGCCCCCGTGCCGCAAAATTATGGCAGCTTCTGGCAACCCTTCTCAGAATCATCAGCCACCCATAACGGGTATGCAAAGCCCTCTCTCCTATCATATTATTGTTTGATGTAAGCGGCACGTTTCTACGCCAGCTTGTAATGGTATCCACGGCGACCCGATCACTTTGAACCCAACCACCTCCAGACAGACGACGGGGTCTGGTGCTGTTGCCACAGCAACGGACTACAGACACCTCAACCATGCTTCTCCCTCAGAAAGCTGTGAGCCATACGTAAAAACATTATTATTTACAAAGATAACATTTCATTCACCACCCAGCCTCCGAGACTAGCTCCAGTGATGAAAGCACCTCGAGTGACGAAGAAGCCATTCTGCGACAGGCCGGTGTGACCTTTGACCTAAATTCACTCACTTCCGTAGATGGCCACGCCCCCTTAGAACTAGTACGTTGTATGATTATTATGTCTCAATGCTTGTCAATATGTTAAGTTTTGCCACCATGGTATATTATATACATGCAATATGTAGGTATCACAGTGTGTGTCTTGCCTCCTGAGTGACCAGCATGCAGCTGCCCACCTTCTTTGTCAAAAGGTATAATAATTATATATACACCTCTCTCTTTCTGCCTGCCAATCATTGCAGGATGCTTTGGAGACAGAAAAAAAAACGTCACAATTTTTTATGTGTAAGAAACAAGAGAGAAAATTTGGCAGTATTGAAAAAAAATTCGCACGAGAAATGTTGCTTTCGAATCTCTGTATCAGGTACTGGAACTGGAACCTGGGAACATGACGGTGCAGGAGATGTACCCACTGCTGCAAGAGAGACTTCGACTGGACAAAGAGCTGCCAACCGAGTCGTCCTCCAGTGAAGAGGAAGAAGAAGAGAAAGAAGGCAGTTCAGGCAGTAGCAGCACTCACTCCAGCGAGGGAGAAGACGAGGCAGTGGGAGAGAAATCACCCCTCAACGCCCATAATTAATTGTCATCACTGATATTTTGTTGTACCGCGCACGCGCAGTAGTATTTACGTTTTATGACGTAATTCTAAATATATGCGAGTGTAATTGTCTTTCGATGCGCCGAAGGAAGGAGCTAGCTGGCTTCTTGGCTTGTTTCTGCTTAGTCGTCGCTTCTTCTGCTGCACGCTAGCTGGAGTGGAACAAGTGAGTCCACTGTTGTTGAAATTTGTGCCCCGCGTTTTTACGTAATCCCTCGCAACAGCACACGAAGGAGCTTGCGTCACTGCGCGACACCGGCAGCTATTATGCATGCCCGAGGCACCGTGACCGATTAGCCTGAGGTGCAACAGCGAACGACGGCTAGCTGCTAAAATGGCGCGTAAATACGGGAGGTAGTGTAGCTTAGTAAAAACTCTTCGTAGTATTAAAATTAGTTACTCCCGCTGTTTACCTGGGCTTGGTTGATACCCCCACACACACATGCACACAGCTACAGTCAAAATGTCAGCGGAGGGCAAAGCTACCATTCCTCACCCAGCCGTCACAATATGCAACACCCTGTGGGGCAGTAATCTCACTTTCTCCCCCTTCTCCGTGGCTGCCGGCTCGACCGGGGATGCTGCGAAACCAGTCTCTTTTGACAGACTTTTCCCGGAGGAGCAGAGCCTTGTCGAGACGTGTCGGGAGGCAGGGCTGGAGCGAGAGCCTCTGCAACTGTGCTCACTGCTACTGGGCTCCAGTAGCTATCGTGTGAGAGAGAAGGGAGGGAGGGAGAGAGGGGAGCGAGGAAGGTGGGAGGGAGGGAGAGAGGAAGATGGGAGGGTGAAAAATACCACGAAACTTCTTATGTAATGGACACACATATAAAAGAACAATTGTTCACGTCTGGTACTGGTATCATGTTTTATATTCAGGGATGGTATGCTTTAATACACTCCTGTATAAAGAACAATTCAAGAGGGGGAAGAATGTAGAATGTGGTACATATACTGCCACTAAACATGCAAAGTAAGAATGCTTGCATTATGCAACACACACAAACAGGCGCTGGCTCTGTTGCTAAAGAACGGAGTCCTGTCCGTCTCGCAGCCTCTCTCCCCCCGAGAACAGACCACCCTGCCCCACCTCGCCTGTGCCCTGGGCCTCCCTCCCGTCATCAACGCCATTCGAGACACCCTCAACGGATCCACCAACAGTTCATTTGTATGGAGCATAAAGGACGGCGAAGGTGAGTGCTCAACCTTTTGTGAATCTTTATTGTGATAGGCACAAAAGCTGGTTTGTTTGCAGAGGTTGTGCGTATGCACATCGGTTGCAGTTTTCATTACTCTACGTATAATGCCAATTATTGTTGTCATTGTGGGCCTTACACTGGAGTTGAACCCATGACACTTTTGCTAATTCCCTTGCTCACGTTAACTTCCACCAAAGTTGTCTATGCTGCTAGTGTTTCCTTTACGTAGCTGTCAAGATTGTCTCTCCCCTCTCCTTCCCTTTCTCTTTCTTGCCACCTCTCTCTCTCTCTCTCTCCTTCCCTTTCTCTTTCTTGCCACCTCTCTCCTCTCTCCCCTCTCCTCCAAAAGGCCGTATACCGGAAGAGGTATGTTTCAACCCTGAGCTGGTCAAGAAACTTCCTCACAGACCACTGTTTGGTCGAAAGAAGAACAACTCCAGTCTGCCACGCCCCCCAAACGACAGCCACAGGAGAGCCATATTCCAACTGGCGAAAGAACCGGAAAACTTCTACAGTCTCATCGTCGCCCTCAGGGTATGGTCTGAGGTCATGTGACATGTCATGTGACTGGGCCTGAGATCACATGACATGTGATCATGTGTGCATTCCAGTCTAACTTCAAAAAGCATGTATTTGATTCTGCTCATGTCTCATGTGTGACTGATCATGAGACTAGTCATGTGACTGATCATGTGACTAGTCATGTGATCTCTCTCTGCAGAGCTCCCAGTTCAAGGTTGACAGTGAGAGAGATGAGAATGCTGATCTCCTCATTCATACTGCAGTACACGGAGGTATTATAGATTAAACTTTACACTTGAACCACATTTATGCTGCTACGTTTGTTCTCTCTCTCTCTCTCTCTCTCTCTCTCTCTCCTCACACAGGTATTCCGTCTCTCCCCCTCCTCCTCTCCCTCCTGAACCACTTCAAGGCCGACGTCAACGCCAGAGACGGGAGTGGAGCCACACCCCTCTCTCTTGCCTGCAGACTCGGCCATTCCAGAGTGGCCGAGGTACAGTATGGGAGAAAGTCCAGTACTTTGTGCACAGTGAACACCCCTGACAATGGACCCTCCAAATAAGGAAACCTCTGTGTATTAAGGGACGTTTGCGTATGTAGTTCTTCCCCATACTACACAGTAACAGTAGTGTATTGTACCACTTCCAAATAAAGCACACCTCTGTTTCAGAGGTTTCACTGTATTACATCATTGGCTGGTCCAGGTGCTCGTGTGTGTGGGCGGAGCCGACATGGGATCACGGGAATCGGACCGGGGAACGACGGCACTCCATTCCGCGGCGCTGGGTGGTCACCCCGACGTGGTGAGGATGCTGCTGAGGAGGGGTGCGGATGCAGCTGCCGAGGACGAGCAAGGTTGCGACGCTGGCTTCCTGGCAAAGAGGGCGGGGCATCACGAGTGTCGGCAGATACTAGTCCAGCACTCTCGAGGGAGATTCACTTCCCTCGCTGCACAGACAATCACAGTGAGTGTTTTTGAGAATTCCTTCTCTCCCCTCTCTTTCTCTCTCTATATTCTCTCTACCCCCTCGATCTTCTCTCTCTTTCTCTCTCTATCTCCTCTCTACCCCCTCCATCTTCTCTTTCTCTCTCTATCTCCTCTCTACCCCCTCCATCTTCTCTTTTTCTCTCTCTCCTCTCTCTCTCTTTCTTTTTCTTATGGAATCTCTGAACAACAATCCTTGAAATATAGGACACCTTTCTACTCCATTCATACCAGTACTTAGTTCTTCCCCATATATACTAGGGACACCTCTCTGATTAAGGACACATTTCTATAAAGGACACTTGGTTCATTGTCTCAGATGATATCTCTCTCTACGTACAGGGTTCTCTAGACGTTGCCATGGTGATACGGGCCGACGTCTGTCAGGTGACCGAAGATGGTTCCACGCTACTCACCCTCGCTGCAAAACATGGCCACGCCCACCTGCTGAGTCACCTAGTCAAGTTTGAAACCTGCCCTTTGGACTATCGTCAGATGAAGGTTGGCTGTACGTCTTGTTCTCTAGCTATGAATATCACTACATGCTGTGGTGGGTATTTTTTGCCGGAAAAATACTTTCTTACTCACGAATTCTGAGAATATTAATTCATGAAAAAACTGTGGTTTCTGTCTATGTGCATGTGTGTGTGTGTGCGTGAGCCACGTACAAATCTCAAATGTATGAGTATAACCTGTGTCTTCCCTTACTAAGTATAGCGATAAGAACAAGATAAACGAGGTCTCCCCCCCTCAGTTACCAGACCTCCTGGACACCTCAATGGAGCTGAGCGCCGGTCTTAGAGGCTTGCCTGAATCTGGTGAACATCCGTTCAAATCAGCTCTCCACTTCGCTGCTCAGGGCGGCTATCTCCACTGTGTCCAGATACTTCTCGAGTAAGGATTCATTCATTCATTCCCCTCTCGAAAGGACACACCTATCTGATATTGACACGTGTTCTGTCCCGTTGGTGTCCAAAAGTTCAACTGTATCTTTTATTCTCTCTCGTGTGTGCATAATTCACTCACTCCCTCCCTCCTCTCCCTCCCTCCCTCCCTCCTCTCCCTCCTCCCCAGTGCCCACTCCCACCCCTCCCTCCCAGACTGCGACGGATGGCTCCCTCTCCATCATGCCTGCGACTCAGAACACGTAGACATCGTCCGCCTCATCCTCAACTACCCCTCCACCCTCGTCCTCAGTGGACTCCGCCCCGCAATGAATCTCGCCAAGGGACGATGTAATAATGACATCATCACCCTTTTGGAGGAAGCAGTGTTGAGGTGGGTGGAGTTAAAATTTGTAGTTGGTCAAAATTTGCAACAAGCTTCGTCTCAAAATTTCTCCCGTCACAAGGTATGTTGTATGTCTTCTTCCAGACGGCAGAATGAGATAGTGACACCGATGCTCTTTGACGCAGCTGTCTCGGGGAATGCTGACCTCCTTTTTACCATCCTCGAGAACGGCGATGATGTCAATCCTCTGGTGAGCTATTTGATTGGTCGGTTTTCCTGGTGATGTCATGGTCTTTTAGCATTTGCTCCATCCAAACTGGCTCTATTTCGCTCTTGAGCCTGTGTGCATAATAGTCACGTTGTGATTAAAATCTGATTGGTGGTTTTGGTGATGATGTCATAGTGACGTAATTCTCTCAGAAGGAGGAGAGTTGTGATTGGCCGTTGCTATTGGCGGCAGGATTTGGTTACCTCGAGATTGTGGAACATCTCTTCAAGGTCAGTTTGTGTTTCAGCAACATTGGTTTCACGATTCGAGTTTTAATCCGGGTTAAAACTGGTATCTGTCAATGTTTCAGTTTGGAGGTCATGTGACACAAGCCAATCCCAAAACCGGAAACACTCCACTGCACGTTGCGGCCAGAGGCGGTCGAGAGAACGTCGTCTCCTAACCTTCTAACGTTCACCAGGCAGGCCGGGACCAGCCGCGGGGGAGAGGGGGAGGGGGAGGGAGGAGAGGAGAGAGGGAGAGACGTAAACTGCAGGAACAAGTCCGGTGCCACTCCACTGGAACTGACCGTGGCTCAGGGTCAAAACAGCATCGTACAGTAAGTCACCTTCACTCTCACTGTTATCATCGTATGTGTCTATATGACTCCAACAAGCATCGGTATTGCTGAGAAAAAGTTAAGAACTTGGAAATTACCCTAACAGGTTCCCCTATATAGAATCCAGGGGCAGTGTTACTTAGACGAAAATTAGGGGGCACAAATTAGTTTTCTCCAGTAATTATCAGAGAGGTGAAGCACAGTTTTTGAGAGGGGGCTCTAAATGGGAATCAAACCTGCTCTACTTAATTCTAGCTTTTTCCCTGCTCATATTTATGTACCTCATATATATTACTTAGGCTACAGTTTCTCTCTGTCTGTCTCGTCACCAGATTGCTACTGGACTCGGGGGCGAGTTGCTGTCTTCCTGACTCCAACGGTCAGCTCCTCACCTGTGCCGAGTTTGCAGGGATTCAGTTTATTCTGGAGACGTACCGAAGAGAGAGGATTGGGGTCATCTGCGGTGCTCTTGAGAGAGCCGCTAGTCTGGAGGAGTTTCAGACCATCTGGCAGGTAGAGGGGGGGAGGCACAGAGTGTATATAGGTGGCTAAATGAATGCAGTTAATCAACTTTACTGCAACACATTATATATTGGCAAGTGAAGAAGTTCATCGTACGCCAAGTACAGTTTGTATATACAGGTGGCTAAATGAATGCAGTTTTAGTCATCTTTTCTGCAACATTATTATATTAGCAAGTGAAGAAGTATTATGGTACGCCAGGTACACAAAAATATTGTGATATTCTGTAAAATGGCTTGCTTTGCACGAATGTACTATTTCACATTTTTAATGTCTGACTTGACCACACCCCCTAGGGCCCCTGGGACTACAACCTGCGGGCGGAGTCAGGAGACACAGTTCTGATGGCCGCCGCCCAACATGCCCCTCTCGAGGTTGTGAGGTTCCTACTGACCGAGGCTTCCTCGGCCCCGCCCACCGTCCTTGTTGCCGGGGGAATACCCACCCCATCTCCTGGGTAATTAAATAAGAGTGATACATAATTATGTAGTAGATGCTACAATTATGATGCTTCTGAGTATTGAAGTATGATGTGTAGTTTTGACATGATGTAATTTGGGGGTGTGGTCTCCACATCAGGCGGCGAATGGTCTGTTCACCAGACGATTCAGAACACGCGATGTCGGATGCTCATCCTTCTCTCACTCCCAGGGCCTCTCGCAAGGTTTGGAGCGATGTCAACATTACATCATTGATAATTATGTCACTTTATTACGCTGCTGTAGGACTACGTGGACAGCTGGGATCCAGAGAGGCCGGCGAGTGTTGTCCCGTTTCATATATCGCCAGGGAGACGCCGACGACGACACACAGGAGTTCGCTCGTATAACAGGTACGCATCAGATTTTATATATGAAGTTTCAGAGGTTGAGAAATTAGGAAGCTTGTACTGACAAATCTAATTGGTCGATTCAAATGAGCTATGTAGTAATGGTCATGTCCCCCTCCCTCCGTCTCTCTCCCCAGGTTTCCAGTCCAGAGGGGCTCAAACCGGGCCCCATCTCCTCTGAGACTGGGGCCCGGGAGGTCCGGACCGTCCGGGGCCAGCAACGCCAGCTCCGGGGAGGATGAGGGAGGAAGGGGAGTCCCCGATGCTGCAGGCAGCGAACCATCCATAGCCAGCAACTCGGGGATTTGTACCAGTACGTGTGTGGCCGTTTTATTAACACTGTTCCAAGAGCTTTCTTTCCTCTCTTTCCCCTTCCAATAGTGTTGTTTACCTTGCTGACGATTTCATGGAGCAAATTTTGCTGCTTTTACAGCCATTCTCTCTCTCTCTCTCTCTCTCTCATTCTCTCTCTCTCTCTCTCTCTCTTCCACAGCCATCATCAGAGCTACAAATCCCCACGACGGACAGACGGCGGCTCACAGAGCAGCACTGGCAGGGAAACAGGAGAACCTGTCTCTCCTCCTGCACTACGACCCAGAGTGTGTCCTGGCCAAAGACCTCGTTGGAGACACGCCACTACACCTGGCCTGCAGGGTCACTCAGAAGAAAACTTACAGGAAGATCGTGGAGATGCTACTCGTGGGTTCCCATACTTCATACTGCCATGTTTCCATCCTCCACCACCGTGATCCCATTCTCTTTCTTCGTACTGCTGTGATTTGTTTGTGATTCCATTCCCATACTTTATACTGCCGTGATCCTATTCCGATACCGTAGTAGTTCCATTCCATTCCCTTACTTTTGCAATACCAACCCACATTGACGTTATTTCCATACTTCCAGACCGTCGTCATTTCATTCCCCATTCTGTCAAACCCTCGCACTCGATTCCCTCATGTCTTGGTACAGGGATGCGACAGGGTAGTTGCTAGTGCGATGAACAAGAAAGGTCAACGGCCAGAAGACGACTGCCCAAACACAAAGACACGAAAATTGGTACACAAACGACGACAAACGTCATCACAAAATGCAGTGAACTACTTATTTCTCTCCGTTGCAGGTCATCAAGAAAAGGACTAAAGAAACGTATGTTTACGACAATCACGTTCTTCCTTTGTCTAGTTGATACGTCTATTTTCTATCGTTTATTAGGTTGGATTTACCGTCTGTACCTGACACAGACCCACGAAAAAACATGTGTACGGCTGTTTTATTCTTTCTTTGCTGTCTCTTTAAAATTTTACTGCCATCCCTCTCTTCCTCCTCCCTCCAGTTTTGAGCCAGATATCAGAGGGTGCTAGCAGTACAACCAGCAAGCCGCTCACTCCCAACGAATTTGAAGAGAGGCTCAGGAAAATGAAAGAAGAGCACATGAACAAATCGTCCACCTCCGAACACGACACAAGCAACTGACATCTCTGCCTCTTTTTTTATACTCCATCCCTTTATATATACAGTTTTTAGTGACGTGATTGTCAATAAATCTATCACTTTTTTTATATTCCTTATGCAGCTATAGCTAATGTGGCATTGCATCATAATGCATTTTTGTCGATGCGGAATGTAAGCTCTCGCCTTCCTCAACTTAAGTCTGAGCGGAAGTCGCAGAGGTCGCGCGTCGCGGTGGATTGCTGTAGCCTGCTGTTCTCTCTGCATGCAAGGAAGGCAATGTGGCCTCGACTAGGCGCTGGGCGTCGATTGGCGTATGCTAGTCGCGGCTGTAATAGGATGTCCTAGGTCTCTCCGTGTGCGCGTGTTCCGTCGTCCCTTTCCACAATCCGTAAGCGTCCCGCCACGCTGCGGGCAGCGGCGCGAGGAAACAGTAAGAGAATCTCGTAAGCGATGCCGGAAGCTTGAACGATGACCACGCATCTCTCTCTCTCTCTCTTCTCTCGCAGACGCGTGACAGAGTGCCTACGGGGGGCTGGCTTCGGCGTCTCTGCCACCCTCGCTCTCCTCCCTATTTGCCTCTCTTCTCTACGCACGAAAATTGCGAGAGCGTCGCGAATGCCAACCTCACTCGACGGCCGTCCTGTCGCCTCGGGCCTTCTCTCGAGCACGCTGGCGTGATGCAGGAATAGGCAGCTTTGTAGCTTACCTGGCCTCGGCCTCATACATCTCTTCACGGAGATCGTTCTATATATTATCAGTAAAAAACTGGAGATGCGGATTTGCTATAGCAAGTTGTCCTTTCTGCGATAGACCTTGTTCAGACGGAGTACATCGTGTGTGTCATGGACGTTTTATGACCTTCAAGTGGTGAGACTCACTTCCTATTACTACGCATCAAGACTTACAAAATCATAAAACCTTATGATTGAAAATTCTTAATTATAATATTACAGTTTATTCCAAAGTGAACGGGTTGCATGTGTATGTAGAGTAACGTGGTCATGTGATAGAGTCATGTGATTACTCGGGGACGTGGTTCTAGTACAGTGTGACAATCCACAGTACGTGCACCAGTCCTGGCTGTCTGTTTCCGGAACTTTCCGCTCGGAGCAGGCTGCGTAGCCGTTCCAGCGTGAAACACGTCATCCGTCCCAGTGTGCTGTAAAGATAAATCCCCTGTGCAAACAACCCCGGCCAGATACAAATTAGCTAATTATATGATCCGTAACGGAGTAAAACTTGTGGAGATTATTGTCTGCACGACACACAAGAAGCGCACATTGGACACATTAAAAATTTGGTTAAATAATTAAAATAAACATGGACCCACAAATTATACTACCTGTGTGTCCATCTTGCTCCATCTACATACACGTCCATGTCTCAATATCTGCACCACAAGAAAACAAACTGTTCAAATGATCCATGTTAACATGAGCATGTCATCGTGGTCTAGTACAGGACGACCCTGTGGCCCCGCCCATTATCTCGGGGTGACAGACACGTGTGTTCTTCAATTGCGACTCCACACTTCTCAAAGATAGTTACATCGCAACCCCACACTCGAGACATGAAATCGGCTCGGTTGTAGCTCAACTAAAACCTGTAATATAGTCATTGTGATTGATCACGTGAGTCACAGGCTACAGATCACGTGCTGTAGCGACCTTTCTGCACGACCCGGAAGGAGATGACAATTCGGCTGGTTTGGAGCTGATCATAACTTTTTCAGATCCCGACCAACGGTAAAAACATCAGTTTCGACGACAGAGCTGCACGATGCAAATGATACATCATTCGTTTATCCAGACCCTAGATAGCTAATGATAGCTTTAGCTTGGCAAGTTAGAGAGTTGCTACAATGTACACCTTAGCTAAAAACAAAGCTAGAGGGTGCTTTAAATGACAAACTAGATGTGCTGAAAAGTGCACCTCCTTGTCGTCCACAGTAATAACCCTTTTTTCCGCCAGGTAGTGACCGTGATCAGGCGCACTCTGGGGACTCCATACGGCCAGCCCCACCTGCCGACAGTTAACAGTAACACTAAAAAACACCACGACTGGATGTTGCATGCACCACCGCCAAGCGGCGCCACATGCGTCTGCTATTCACCTGCTCCGCTGCGCTCCTCACGACCGCTGAGAGACGCTCTCCACTCATAGCGGGCTAGCTAGCGCAGGACTCATTGTATATACACCATCAGCGCGTGCTGGGCTGCACATAAGGTCACAGCATTATTACATGCAAGATCAGTTATCGCACCAGTCGACACCCCTCTTGTTAGCTGTGCTCTATTTAGAATTTATGGAGACGCTGCGTCACAAAGATCATCGCGACTGAAGAGCAGATGCGTATAAGCAGGGATCTCTGCAGCTATATTCTGTATATTCGTATGTTCCTAGCAAAAGTTGTAGTTCAGCATTGTAGCATACTGAAAACATCTGCAATCAGCATGTGTGAACAATCTAGAGTACACCTCTTCTAGCTCCCACTTGTCCCTATACAGGCGGAATCCCCGTTTGGGGGGTAAGCGAGGCCATTCCGAGTAATTTTGGATTTCCTCCACTTTGCACGTTCCAGACGAGGACGTGCCTCAAGTCAGTGGAGGTGAGTTTCAGGTGCGCTCTGCCACGGGACTGGTAAACAGCCAACCTAGTTTTGATCCACACATCATATTTGTGACGTTGTTTTTTGCGGAGCACTAATATGTGACCATTTTGTTTGTGTGTGACAGAATCTTATTGAGAGTCGATTGGTGGAAGACACTTTACCAGCGAGAAGTGAAGGATATGGTTTCGGGACTGTGTGAGTTGTGAACGGAGAGATGAGACGGAATTGATCACACAAGCCACCACCCATCACTCCTCGTGGCTCAGCTACTGCAGAAAGCCGAGACCTGGCACTCAACATGAAGGTCGCCATATCTGCCCTGAGAACAAGTGGTCACCTTCTCTATCTTATCTCTTTCTCCTTTCCTATAATATATACTCATTTCTGAATCCCCAGAGAGCTTCTGGAGACGACTGGCCCAGTATGAACAACAGCAGTTCAGCTCATCAGCTCTCCCTGCCTCAGGTTCTACATCATGTCAAGACTAATACATTCTACCATTTTCTTCTGTCAACGTTAGTATACATGAACTAAATCTCACACAGCTCACAAATTCTACTCTGACCCATGGATCACTCAGGAGGCGATAATTATAAACTGCTGCAAAGGGTGATTGTAGTGAATATAGCGAGGTGTCCTTATATATCAAAGTTAATGAGAGGTTCACTTTTCCCCGCTGATATATATTTAGGAGATATCACGATTGGAAGAGGAGAATGATTAACTGTTTTTTTTTTTTTTTTTTTTTTTCTTTTTTTCTTTTTTCTTTTACAGCAGAGGCTCAGCAGGATGGTGATCACAAGGCAAGTCTTGATTATCACTGGTCTGTACATGATGTCACGTGACCTCCGTTTGCTGGGGCACTTAGCGAGAGAGACGAGTTGAAGAAAACAACTCGAGGCGTGCCTACAGTGGCACCACGCCACTCACAAAGCAATGATGTCATAGCTTTACAGGAGACGGTGCCGTTGCTACCGGAGAAGCTGTTGGAAACGGACGCGTCTTCTTCATCAGGCAATGAGCAGACACTGGCGAGAGAGCTAGAAGAAAATCGTAGTGGAGAGAGGAGGGATGGAATATGGGAGGTGTCCTAAAGTCAAGGTTTGGGCCCTTATTAGAGGCCTAAGCAGTATAAGGTTTCCTCTATTCCGAGGGTGCCTCCGAAACAATTTGGATGCTTAGAGTATGATAAAGGGTGACAATCCTTTGTGTGATGCAGAAAGAGAAGAGCTGTGAAGACGAAGGTACAGAGCTGGAGGCAGTGAAGGCTGACCTGGAAGGAAGTTCTCTGAGACTGCTCAGTACGCCAACATGAGGAAGATGCTCTTGACCAAGAACGACCAGATCAAGGAACTGAGATCACAACTAAAGAAGTAAGCCAGTGGTCATGTGACTTTGGTTTGTATGTCATGTGACCTATACACATGGTCACGTGACCTTGGTTTGTACATCATGTGACTTAATACCTTGTTAGTACATCATGTGACCTAAGACTGTGGTCATGTGACCATATTCTGTTCATTTAGGTACGAGTCGTGACCCTTGGCTCACATAGCAACCCGATCTCTTCCTTATGCCAACTGATAGCTCTAAATTACACATTTTTGTCCATGACATCTCTAAATTACACATTTTTGTCCATGACATCATGTAGCTTGTGCTAAAAATAGATTGGACATGTATATACTATCTGGGAGATGGTCAAGCTACATTGAAACAAACATCGTACAACGAAAAACATAACACACAATGACACAATGGTAATACAAACGCGGATATAGATGTACACATGTATAAACACGGAATAATAGCCACAAACACAAAAGCACTCCTAATGAGGCAAGATTAATTGCTGCTTTTTCCTATGAAACAAGGCCAAACACTGGCTCTTGAGCAGCTCAATCTCTCTTTCGAGGGTCCCCGTTTTGACGAAAAAGTCTTTTCTACGCATCCTGAGTCCGTCTATCTCTTGCTGTAGTCCCAGCACCAGCTCCTGTTTGCGCTGACGACAATTCTTAGCCGCTATCTTGTTCTTCCCTCTTCTGCGGACGTTTTTGATGTTTGTCTTTTTTCCGTCCGGGACTGTGGGAGACTCGAGGATTTTCTTGAATTTGTAAAACGGCATGTGGACAAGTTTTTCTTCGCCCGCCGCTGGAGTCTGTTTGCTCTTGGGTACGTCCGAGTTTGTTTGGTGGGTGTGGCTTTGTGAAGGGGCGGGGCTTTGTGCTCGATTGAATGGTGTTTGTGTCGAACACGAAGCAAAGTCGCTAGAAGGGGTCGTCGGTGTTCCATGCAGGCTGGGATTAGGACTCGGTGCCCCGCCGTGCATCAGAGTAAATTGTCCGCTAACGAGAGGATCTCCCTCGTAACTGGGAGTAGATTGAGGGTGGTAGGGAGCGGGAGATGGTACGACGTGCGGGAGTGAAGAGGGAGGATGGGACGAGTGCGAGGGGGAACTCCCTCCGTTGTAGCTGTTAACGAAGTTCAAGTGTCCCGGGGAGTGGTGATAAGACGGAGTTGGGGAGGGAGAGTGACGAGTGAACGGGGTCGCCTGAGGGTGAGGGCTGTAGAGCATGTCGAAATTATAGTGCTGCCCTGTGGAGTGTGCGGATGAGGGAGGAGGTGAGGGGGACGGCAGGGAGGGAGTGGGGAAGAGATACTGCGAGGAAGAACACATGTCGACTGTCGAACTGTACTCCGAATCCCCCACAGACGAGGCAGCGTCGGAGTAAACGGGGTAGTTGAGCATGGAGTGTGTACTCCACTCGTCCATAGGTGAAGGACTACCAACCATGGCCTGGCTGTCTCCCAACGTCATAGAGTTCAAAGTGGCACAGACGGGCGAGGGGGAAGAGAGGGGGAAAGGGGAATGAATCGGGCTCTTCCCCTCTACGCCGAGTAGCGGGTGAGATGACTGTTCCATGTCTGTCATAAAGACACCGGGATCGATGTCGTCTAATAGGGACTGTGTGGGGAAAGGAGGGACTATGGCGGCCGAAGAATCTCCATCTGCCAGCGAGTTCTCCATCAGTAAACTCTGAAGGTCTGTGGAGTTGAGTTCTTGGAGGTTCAGGGGAGGGAGATGGTTGGAGGGAGCTGGTCTCAGAGACGGCTCTTCGGAGTCGCAAAACTCTTCGTCGAACCCTTCGTCCTCGTCGCCCATTGCTCCACCGGCTTCACCGTCGCTCTCTGTGAACGGAGAGAGAGAGGAAACACGGTCAATTTTGCGTTGTATAATATAGTGGTATATAGTACATATGAATAAACTCGTGTGGCTATAGTAGGCGTACCGGTCTGGTACACAGACTCACCGGCTTTGCTTGACTCTGAGGCGGGGGAAGAGACTCTTAGCTGTGGGTCGACCATAACACCGGCCACCGGTCCCTCCACTAACATATCTAGAACGCCCAGCGGGAGAGGTTGGTTTGTCTGCTGGTCAGCCGGCAGAGGTTCGCCGTTATCGCTGAGCGTGCGTAGAAGACGGGCTTCCATACTGCTTAAAACTTTGGTTCTGTCTTGAGAATGAGATCACTAAAGTCGTTTGTGAAGTTTTGGCTTAGGTCAAGACGCCGCGACCCCGCTTTTATAGCTGCACACTCACTCCGTCTCCAAGTTTAGCAACAAACAAAGTGACGTATGCGCAGTTGCTATTTATGTACATTACGTAATGGTATAATTGGAACTAAGCGATAATTATAGACATTCCGGCCGGATACGCGCATACTATGATTCTCGCAGCAGGCGCCCCACAGCGGATTCTTAGAGAAAAAAGATAGCAACACACAACAACAGAGTGTCGAAAGCTAGTAGTGTGTCTGTGAATGAGAGCGAGGTGTGGAGGTGAAGCGGTGCGCAGCTCGAGGTGGGGTAAAGGGATGTTGTAGGGAGTTATGGCGACGACGCTCGCGTACGAAAGTCGGCGAGTCAGACGAGCTGTTCATGGAGTGAGAGAGTGTTGACCGGGAGGTAGACCCAGACCTGCAACAAATAGATAGACACAACTCTTGTGTGATAACTGGGGGGAACTATCCACCAAAACTTTTACTAACACCCCTACTCAGATTAGAGGAAAAATCAAGAAGTGCCCATTATTTAGAGATTCCAGGAAAACTCCAAAAAAGGACATTCCAAACAAAGGACGCTCTAAATAAAGCACCTCCTGAATACTTAATGTTCCAAAAGTATTGGAGTATCCATTATAAGATGTATATTATACCTCCTGAATACTTAATGTTCCAAAAGTATTCGGCGTGTCCATTATAAGAGGCTCCAGTACTATATATACCTGTGAGGAGTGTGTGTTGCAGATTGTGAAGGGGAATGTTCGTTCTCATCACGAGAGGGCTCTTGTTCGGACTCTGAGGTGGTGTCCAGGTCCCCTCCTTCCTGCCACTCGTAGTCCACCTGCTCCTGGGCACTTATGTGGGCCTTCCCCGCCAGGAACGACGCAAACCTAACAAGAGAATGAGAGGATTAAGAGAGAGAGTGCGATAGTAAAGTGGAAATATCATGGAAATTCTAACTGGTTAACTTTCTACACACTACTTATTTTACACGTTTTCGTTTAATCCGTGACAAACTGGCAAACCGCTGGTAATGACGTGTGCGTCTCAGAACCTCTTAGAGTCGTGGAGGCTGCTAATCTTATCCCAGATCCCATCGTCACGACGACGACAATGCTTCCTCAGATCTTCCAGCGCTTTTTTCGTCTCCACTCTTCCCTGTTCCTCGTACTCCTGACAGAGAGAGAGAGAGAGAGAGAGATAGAGAGATATTGTATATAGATAGATAGAAGAGAGGGAGCATTACGCATTCTACAATGGATAAAGACTTTGAGCGAATTTTGACATTTGTGAGCCACCAGAAAAAAGTTTCATCTACAAGAAACTATACAACCTGTGAAAATCCTTGCAACCGAATTTTAAAGTGTCTCACTTAAAAACTAGTCTATCTAAAAAGGTAACTCGGTCCGTACCTGCTGAGTGAGTAAGCGACGAGTTGGTCTGGTCCATCGTCTTGGGTCGAGGAGAGAGAGGCAGCGGATGAGAGGGGAAAAGAGGCAGGCAAAGGGGGCAAATAGAGGACCCAGAATACAAGCCAACACTCGGCATACAAGGAAGAGTGGAGCAAAGACGACTGAGCACCTGAAAAACAGCAATACAATTGACACAATTAAAATTAGGGGTAAATTCCACACGAGAAAGAATGAGTAACAGCATAAGATCTGCTGACCAGCCTCTGAAGTTATATAGAAGCAGTGTGATCATGACAGAAGCCACGCCCACTTCCCTCATGGGAAACGAGAGGAAAATACAGGCCACGCCTCCCAGCTGGACGGTCCACTGGATGAGGTTCAGAGTCCGCTCGTTGGTAGGCGGAGCCATGCGATAGAGGACGGCAAAACTGATGAGAGCAGCTGCGATGATGTAGGCAGTGACGTACTGCCAGTTACTGATGGCCACCTGCAGAGAGAGCATCGGTCGGATATTAATGTAGTGTGAGAGAGCAAGCAGATAGTTGAGCTTCAAGGAAGAAAGTACAGACATACAGTGGAACCGCCTATAATACAGACACCAATTGGACAGAAGAAAGAGCCCTTATTTGGAGGTTGAATTGGTTTCCTTATAAGAGAGGTGTCCTCATTTCAGGGGGTACTTAGAGAGCGGTTACTTTGTTTAAAAAAACCGATTGTATCCTGCCCACTAATTTCAACTTCCACTAACCTCTAGTGCGTGGTTCCAGAACCAATAGAAGAAAGAGGCAAAGAGGGTGTAGCCTCCAGTCAATATACCCAAACCAACTATACTCGTCTTCTACAATGGTGTGAACCAGGCAACACTCGTCATCGTGAGGACACTTAATGAGAGGGGAGGGGGGGTCTAGTTTTGTGACGTACCTTTGGTACAAACTTGCCAAACATGTACAGAAGGATGAGAACCGATGCCAGTATGCCTACAGTTATACCTGCTCCGTAGAATAATGACACACTCCTGCGTACACAGATGGATGGAATTTCTCAAACTACTACCATACTTAAGTGAGTGTGAGAGAGAGAGAGAGAGTAGGGGAAGTAGTATAATTAGAGGGGGAGTTACCAATTATTAGGGAAGACAAGGAAGGCGTAAGTAGAGAAGGAGTAGGGAAATATTCAGAGAGGGGAATGGGAAGTGAGGGGAGAAAGAGATAGAGGGGGAGTAAGAACTCAAGTTGCCACACACCTGGCCAGCCTGGGAGCACCAAACAGCAGGACCAGTCCAGCAACCAGAAGAGTGATTCTCTCATAAGCCACACCTCTCTTGACCGACAACCGATAGTTGACTTTCTCGTCGGGCACAATACCCACGCACTCGACACTGAATGGAGACACATGGAGGGTGTGGGTTCCGTTTCTATGGTACGTCTTAGTCTCGTCGCCGGAGAGAGCTCGCTCCGACGAGTTGCCCCTGCCAATTATGGCTCCGTCGGTGGGGGTGAGAGTGATCGACGCTCTGAGAGTGATCCAGAACGCTGCGAAACCCTCCAGAGAGTACAGGTTCACTCCCTTGTGGCAGAAAGCCCTCCCGTCTTCAAACGCTTCAATCCCTCCAGTGACAGCAAACTACCCAGTAGAAATATCAATGGCTTGGTAAATAATTTAATAACTTTGTAGCTATATACCTCTTTTTTCTCGAATTTCATCCACATACCTGAAGAACAAGAAAATAATAGATACACACGTCAGATTTCTCGATCATTCTCACACATTTTGGTTTCGTGCAGAGATATTTCCACTGGTCGTCCCGAGGAGCGCTTATAACGCCTGTACTGAAGCAGACGAGTAACATCGCTAGATTTTTTAGGAGCACTGCCATTTCTTCCTAGCGCGCGTTTTTCCAATAAACGCGCAGCACGAAAAATTTTGAATTTGCGCAATATTGATCGTTTGTTTCGCTCAATTAGAGAGTCTGCGGCGAAAGGGAGAAGCGAGGTCTTTTGTCGCGAGCGATGGCAAGAAACGGTGATGGAGACATGACAGAGAGCATTATGCATCAGCTCATCGATGAGGAGGCGCTGGGCGTGGCCTTTGAGATGCACAGAGCCATCAAGTTGGGCTACTACGAGCTCGTCTATCCGGATGAGAGGTAAAATGCGCAAGTCACCTACGCGTCGGTCCGTCATTCGCGTGTCTACGGTAATGAACAAGTTTTCCTTATTTTCCTCTCTCTTCACGCAGCAGCTACGAGAAACACGGTGAGTAAGTCGGTCATGCGATTCTTACATGGGACGGACTCACGACTGAACCTGTTGTTGTGGTGCAGATGTGATAGACATGAAAGGCTACGACATATTTGGGAACACTCAGCAGAGCCTGCAAAAGAACGTGGACTGCCAGTGCCCCAACTGCGATCGGACACTCGGGGCCACAAAGTTTGCCCCTCATCTAGAGAAATGCATGGGGATGGGGAGAAACAGCACTCGGCTGGCGAACCGCAAGTGAGCTCCTTCTCCCCCCCCCTCGCCCTCTCTCGTTTTCTCTTTTTTCTTCTTATATACAAACACTTTCGTATCAGGCTTTCTCTCTCCAAATTTTGTGTGTGAGTTTTGGACGCTCTTGTTGATGTATTGTTTGTTGACGCTACAAATTCCTTGGGCAATTCAATGAGGGTGCGCTATAACCTATCACTCTGATACATGACATGCAGTGTGAGTGTCAGTGGATGTGTTGCTACAGGAACAATAGGACCCCAGTGGAGAGTGACCAGGAAGGAGGCGGGGCACGGTCGGAGGAAGAAGACGAGTGGGTGTATCCCGAGAGACGTGCCTCCAAGAAGGCACGCAGAGACAAGGTGTGGAGCATCTCCCACCTCTCTTCCCTCTGCCTATATACCATATAGCATTAAATGTTGGAGGAAGAAAACTTGTAGGAGATATGAATTTTGCTGAGAAAGCTTTCATGGGTTGTAAATGATCCCTGCCTACACAGTTTTGAAGGTGGGCTTTCGTGGGTCGAACTTTCAAATTTGCAGGTTTTCTCAGTATCGTACCTTCATTGGATGGTTTCTCTGAAGGGGACTAGTAATAGAGTGTAGAGGGTGTGTTTGGTGAAGCCCCGTACCACTGGAACTAAAAATAAACACTTGACTGGTAGAACAAGGACGTACTGAGTGGGGAGGCTGCAAAATAGAAGCCAAGCAACACTAGTGTATGTATATCCTGTCACAGGAGACAACGATACGAGGTCCGGATAGACTGTGATAGGAGTTCGTATTTGCATGTGACGCGTGTCTCGTTTCACCCAACTAAGTTGAGGTGTGTGTTTCCATCTGTCACACACGCAGCATCATTCGTCCCCTATAAGAACCACTGGCAGCCGACCGGGTCCAGGCAGACCGCCAAAGAGTGAGTAAACCCCTCTAATCATTAGAATCCTCACTCGCCTCTCTCTCTCTCTCGTTCAGACTCCCAACCGTCTCTCTCTTCAAGTTCTTCTTCAAGTAGCACCCTCACTTTGAAACCGTCGCTGCAGCAGCACAACGTAGCATCATTTATGACTCTCCCCTCCGGTAACTTGACCCCTCTCATTTCCTTCCTCCCCCCCACCCCCTTCAATTCGTCTTTCTCTATACTAATTCTCCCTCCTTTTCTACTCTCGTGGTCAATTCTTTCCCCTTTTTACAGAATACAAGATATCTCTTCTACAACAGGTATATATATATATATATAATACGTGGTGTTGTGTGTGCTCTTGAAGTATGTGCACGAGGTATATATATATATAATTATGTTTTGTTTGGGAGAGACTTTATTTCCCATAACTGCAGATCTGTGGAGTGGTTTCAGAACGAACTGGTCGACTGTGCACTAGGTCTGTCGTTACGTCATGCTACTCTTGTGTGTTTATGCTTTAATTTGTGTTTGTGCGTGTGAAGGTCTGTAAACTGTCCGCAACATTCTGAAGAACAGAGACAGTCGTTGAGACGGAAACTACTTGGTAACTGGAGGTGTTCTATTTATAGCTGCAAGTGATGAGGTCGTGTTGCTATATATTTTCGGCAGATCGTCCCTTGGACCTACCTCTGTCTTCACACAAGCGAAAGAGAGATAGAGCAGAGAGTCCACCAGATGGTAGAAAGTCACATGACATCACATGAGAGGTCACGTGACACACTTTTTTTAACCCTTCTACCACTACAGATGACTCTGATGTAGTGAGCAGTAATCATCATCACTCCCCATCCGACTCTCCCCCTGCTGCCATGGCAACGTGGGGCCCCTCCAAGAAACGCAAGAACAAGGCCGGGAAGAGGACAAAGAGGAGTAACCATGGCAACAGCGGATCGTCTGGTGTAACAACCACCAGCAGTAGACCATTCTCAACTATGTTCTAGTTATTGGCGGCCCTATTAGTGTGTGTGTGTGTGTGTTTATAATATTAGATGTCAGGGAATCAAAAACTTGATGTTAAAAATTGTGTGAAAAATCACGGTTGGTGAAAAAGACAGATGTTGCGCCTAAATTGTCTGTTTTAGCTTCTGGAGTCTTTCAATTACGGAATTGAAGTTGAATGTGACTTTGTTGCCAGTAAACACGTCCTGTGTGTACACACATTGAACGATAGCTTGCATCCTCTAACAAAATGTGTGCCAGATTTTTTTTATACCTGTGAAGTTTGCCCATCCAATCTCTCTGACAGCTGCGTTGCCCGGGTGATGTAGAAAGGAATGCGATCACGGAAGAGTTGTTTGAGCGGTTTGCTATAGATAGATATCAGGAGAACAGCCACTTACAGTGGGATAATTTTGAGGGAGAATCAGCAGAAATCAAACTGCAAAAAGCGCTGAGTTTTCCCTCAAAGTTCCCCACCATACAGTGCTCAAAAATACAATATTATACTCGGCTTACGTACGTCAGCATGGCCGGGTATTGTGTACTGAAGTTCTCCATAGTCTCGCAGACTGCCACACGAAGTGTCTCGTAGGCTATGATGTCGTTGTACTTGTCTGCTGCTCCCACTTCCATCTCCTATTGGTATACAAGTTCATTTTGCATTCATACACAATATAGTTGGAATTTCTATCCCCATTATCTGTTAGTAATTGTGAATTTTCTACTAACTGTGCCAGACAATTAAGACACAAGAAAAACCTCATTCTGTGGTAAAGTATTACCTTCTCGTATCCGGGCTCGTTGTGGTAGGGTCTCTCGTTCATTAGGCTCTGGATCGACACCAGAACACTCAACAGCGACTGTGCCGCAGTCCACGCTGGTCCTGGCCACGTTCTGCATCCAAACATGCCAGCTTTTGAACCCTAGCTTATACTTGAATAATACATCAAAATTCTCTTCAGCTCAAACGAAGATCGTCTTTTACTACTGTTTTAGCATCAGAATAAAAGTGTCCTTTATAGGGAAGCGTTCATACACACTTTTAATGTCCCCAAGGTGTCTCTTACTAAGATACCTCACTTACCCTATAATGCTGAGACAGACTTTTCCGTTCATGTATAGGTTGGGGTTGAACCTAACGGTCCCGCCGCCCGTTGTGAGCAATTTCACTCGGGGCGGCTCGTAAGGGTACGTTGGGGGTGTCCGCAGGAGGAAATGAAACAGGCCCCCCTCGTAAGGGGTTCCAACCGGCCCCACCACGAGTCCATGAATCTGAAAAAAATTTGGGGGATTATTTGATAAACAAATGTTTATATGTACTGTGGCGATGTCATCATCGTTAGGAGCTGCGTGGATGCCATGAGGCTTCTCTCTGAAGATCTCGGCTAGATCTCTAGAAGAGAGGAAGACAGAGAGAGAGAGAAAGTTCAGCTAAGGTCTAGGGCCAGGAGACGCCCACTTTTTGGTCCTCACGACGCTCTCGGCGCTGTAGTTCTCTCTGCTCCACTTGTTTGCGAAGGGGTCCCAGGAAGAAACCAAGTTGGAGGCGTCGTTGGTACTCCCAGCCATGTCCTCCCTCCAGGTTTCTCTAGACCAGCTTGCTGCTCAAAAAAGGCGTGGTGGCTCAAATTACGTAATCTTTACGTCATAACTACGTCAGTATGCGCATGCGTAGTTTCAATCTACGACGAAGCGACGTTGTCGAACGTCACTTCAACGTTTCTTTCTAGTACTTACTTAGGGCGCTGTAGTTCTTTGTCCTGTATTTGTGCCTCTCTCTCTTTTGCCGGTAACCTCCCGAGCCTCTCCCCGTCCCCTCTAGGCAACGCGTTCCTTCTTGGCCAGGTCTGGTAACAAAGAGACGAACAGGTAGCAGTGACTTTGCCGCCGGGTATGGCTCTCTCACCTACAGGGATATACTCCTCTCTGGCCGACTGGGACTGCAGCCGCGCTCTGGACGCCCTCCTGGCCGAGGAAGACGGCGGAGTGTCTGTGGTTCCGCTACTACAAGTGACTGGTACGTGTGAGATTTCAACCAGCGCTAGTAGCTGCGGTGACTCACCGCTCGACTCCCCTACCTCGGACGAGGGGAGCACGCAGAGCATCGACTCCGGGTTCTCCACGGCGCCGGGACTGGTCAAACCAGAAGAGGACCAGTTGTTGGCCGGTTTGTTCATCGGGGAAAATATCTCTGACTTTGACTTTCTCGCGTGCGGGCAGCCTACCAGTTCAGGCTCTTTCTCCCTCTCCCCCCTCGCAGCCGCGACTGTACCCGCCCCCCTCACCGTCGGGACCCTGGACAATGACTCCTCTCCCCTCAGCCTAGATTCCGTTCCTCAAATACGCCCCACAAACCGCCGAAACAGCATGTTTAGTTCCGATTTTGACCTCGATTCTCCTTCGCCACCGGCCAACAGTGCCTCTAGAGCCATCTCCAAGAACAACGGGCCTCTCGTCTCGATGGACAAGAGCCGCAAGAATGCCGAGGCTGCGCGCCAGAACCGACTCAAGAAGAAGAAGTACATGGAGGAGCTTGAGCAGGACCGGTCTCGATTGCGAGCAGATAATGTCGTGCTTAAAACGAGATGCACGGAGCTCCAAAACCGGAACAGGAAACTGGAGACCGAGGTGGCCTACCTGCGGAGCGTCTTGGCCAATCAAAGCACACTGTCCACGCTCATCAAGAACATTCCAGGCATTCCGGGTGTCAATCTCACCAGTTCTTTCTCGCGGAAGAGGCCAGGAGAATCTGCCGTCGACTCTGCTTCTACCTCCTCTTCTTCGTCGACATTGCTCCCGCCAACCAAGAGATCTAGAGGTGGTTCAAACGCTATTGGTTCACACTCTGGTGGCATCTGTCTCCACGTGTCAAAAGAAAGCGTTTCTCTTGAGTTCTGTGCACAGTGCAGTCTAAAATCGGGACAGGTTTAGCGCAATTCGACCAGAAAACAGCGTTCAAACACACCAGATGTTGACTTGCACCAAACAACTCGAGAGCAAAATGTATTATATGTTTGTTTGTTTGTGTGTCCCTCTATTTGTGCGACTTACTGTCTCTCTCTCCCCCATTGCCAGCCCTTTGATTGGTGGCCAATTGCAGAGGACATCCCCCCCCACCAACATAGTGACATGTTGGTAATGTGTAATTATTCATACTGACTCAATGGTACGCAATTGTGTGTAACAAGTCCGTTTCACTTATCTCACAAACAAGAGCATCTTTTTTCCGTTTCTTATCCTGATTTTTGTAAGTTACATACTCCAGTGATGTTTCTGCTCGTCTCTCTCTCTCTCTCTCTTTCTCTCTCTCCACAATTTTCAGTGAAATGAGATCACCTGTGTTGCTGGGGCGATACGTAAGTTTCGGTCGTGGTGGACAAGGTAATGGTAGATCCTGTCTTCTCATACTATTCACACAGCGCACTGCATGCCAAGTTTCCATTGATGGCTCTCCATTCCATCTTAATGGTGGTGCCTTGCATGCCGAGCTTTGTAATCCACTATCATAGAAGATTGACACAGTACTAAAACTACAGTATAATTATATATACAGTAATTATGGCTTCAAACAGTGGTAATTTAGGTCTTTATAAAGTTGTGGTGGTATATTGTAGCAGGAATGTTCCACTGTTTTTAGTTTTGTCATGTACTCAGCTCTGTTCCCGATAAAAGAAGCAGGGAGAGCAGGATTTCCATAGAGTAATGTGACTCAGAGTGGTTACTTGTACATACACAATCTAGTGACGTTCATTGTAACATTGTACAAGCAAGGTTTTATGACTGCGCGTGCGGGAGACGTGCAATAATTATAACAATGGCAGTCTAAATACGCAGCAGTTTATTGAGTACAATCAAAGAAGAAATAGAACTAGTATACAGACATCTGTGTGTGTTGACATAATATTTGCACATGTGCAAACAGGGCTACATTATGCTACCAATCTCTACAGTGCAGCACAACATCAGTGGAAGTAAAAATAAGTCCCATCAGCTTCTGTGGCCAGATGACACCTATCCTGCCAATACCATCTTGACAAAATCTGGGAGACAAAGACGATTCAAATTTAGTGATGGTGGGCATTTTATAGAGTAGGACCACATGTGGTGGTGTGCTCTAATTAGAAAAGATATATTATTATAGTACCTTCATAATTTACTTGGCCTTGGGAGTCCTCGGCACCCTGGAGCAGCTGGTCCACCTCTTCATCTGTCAGTTTCTCTCCTGCACACCACACCCCCCATACATACATACACACACCAGTAACACAGTGACATAGTACCAATCTACATAGGTAGTCTTACATTATTGAGTGCCGTTATAGGCACCACATTCGGGAACCGGTAAAACCAAAAATTCGGCTGATAATTAAATTTGCTTCAAGCAGGCCACTATTCGGTAGTAGTCCCAGGTGAACCACTTGTCGCGTCTAAATGTACCCACCAACATGCCCAAACTTTCACTTCATGTACGTACTATATACCCACCGAGGCTTGTGAGGACATGTCGCAGTTCTGCAGAGTTGATGAATCCGTTGCCCTCCTTGTCGAAGACCTTCAGACCCTCGATGAAGTCCTCCATACTCCCCTGCTCCTTCTTCCCGCTCACCGAGTTGTAGATCGGGAGAAACTCCTCGAAACTAACTCGCTTTCGGCCTGCCCCGGCAAAAATTTAGAGAGAAATGGGATAGTGAGGATAATACAATTTTGAGGGATGGACAAAATAATATGTCCTTTTCTGGAGACAGTGTTGGACAAAGAAACTGTGAAAGTTACATTTCCTGTATTTTTTCACCATTTGAAGGTTTTTAAACGCTCCCAGTATCAAACTCGGACATTGAAACTAAGGGTTGTTTGGCTTACCGTCTGGGTCGATTTCCTGGACAATTTTCTTGACGTCGACCTCGGTGGGGTTCAGACCGAGGGCTCGAAGAACGTCTCCAACCTGATCGGAATCTATCTTCCCGTCCCCTCGCTTGTCAAACAGGGAGAAGGCGTCCCTGAATTCTGTGATAGCGGAGGAGTGAGAGATCAGGGACAGTAAGAGGAAGGGAGGTGATGAAGAGAGAGGGAGGTGAAAGGGAGAGAGCGAGAAAGAAGTGACTTGCTAAATTCGTTGGGAAAGAACGTAACACCATGAACTGTATGAGGCTTTTACTTAGCTAGCTACAAGTGTGCCAGCAAACAAGTGATACCCGATAATATGTAGGAGTGTGTGTGTACGCAATCTTGTATGTTATCCAGACACAAGTCGACGCATCAAAATGTACTATATACATCGTACATACACAGCTAGCTACAGCTAGCCAGTAAAGTGCTAATGTGGGAGACTTGACCAAATTTAGACCTCCACGCACACACGGACAAGTTTGGACACAAGCCAAACCATAATCTGTTCCAAAGCAACTAGCAGCTGCCAACGTCAGTCCCTCATATGCAAACTAGAGCGGAGCATCCAAAACTAGGGGACACAGTAGTGGGACCAAGAAAACTGTCCTTTAGTCCTCCACTCGGAAGTTTTAAATAAGTACTAGAATCAACAGGAATCGCTTCAGAGTAACCATGAGTGGGGTGAAGACTGAAAGAGTGTCCTGATAATAACAGGACAACATGGATTAGGACAAGTGGGGGAGCCAACAGTAAGGATGTTGTGGTATGTATGTATAGCAGGATTAGGATGTGACAGTGACAGGATGACTGTTGCACCAAGATATGACGAGAATGAGGAAGGAGGCTTTGATAATAGACTGTGTTCTCGTGTTTATCCCAATGCAGCCAAGTGGGGCACAGGGAGGGAGGGGGAGACTACATTCCTTTCTGCCAAGATATACTGACATACATACATACATACAATATACAGCATATATTAGCTATAGACGTCTCTACACTATGCATGCCTAACTTGGCTAACCCTCACATATTCACTCCTTGTTGAAGAGTCCAAGATACGGTACAGTAAGTAAGCACTAACCCACAGTCCGGAGTATGCACCATGAAATTTCATGCAGGACTTGCTCTAGACGCGCGAAAAAACCGAGCTCGGGAACCCTAAATCACACCTCGACTCGATACGAGACAGTGTGTTTAGTCATGGAGGAGCCTTACCAACTTGTTGGTCCTCTGTTATCTTGTCCTGCAGGGGAGGGAGAGACATACGTCAGTAGAGAAGAAGGAGATAGCTAGCGCCGCGCTCTCTCCTGCCGCTACTACACGTCCATTCGCCTCAATGCTTTCTTAGGAAATGTACAAACGACGTATACAAAAGGAAATGGACTCACCATTTCTCTTTCTTCTGGTCCCTACAAACTGCACTGACAACTTAGACTAACTGTCAACGGGTTGATTCTCGCGAGAGTGCGGTCAAACAATTCCGGCAAAAATTACGACGGGTCCACCGTCGAAATTTATAACGGATGATCTTACTGCTGAGTCAGCATTCTACGGACCCGAGACAGTACTATGGCAGTCAGGCTGTGCGGTTTTTCGGCCATAAGATGCTGCCTGGTCCTCCTCAACGTCTTCTACATCGTAAGTTACGCGATTATAACCCCCGCATAGCCTTTCACGCTTGTCCAAAGGCTCCACCAGGCTTCTAACGCAATTCTTCCGGCCCCCAGGCCCTGGCGCTGTTTCTCATCGGAGTTGTCGTTGCCTCAAAGGCGATCTCCTACTTCACGGACCCTAGTATTCTGGCTGGACTGGCCGTGTGTGCCAGCATACTCTTCCTGGTGGCCGTTTTGGGACTTGCCGGCACTGTCAAGCACCACCAAGTGGTCCTCTTCTTTGTATCCTTCTTCCTGGAGAGAGAGAGAGAGGAGAGAGTGGGAAAGAGGGGGGAAAGGGAGAGACAGTTCTGTTATTGTCTTGACTGCAATGATCCTGTCAGTACATGGTATCGCTGGGGTTGTCGGGGATCGTGTTGTTTGCGGTGTCGGTGGCTGCACTTGCTGCTCCCGACAGCTACCAGACGAGTTTCTTTGACACCACGTGGAGACGACTCGGCTCCCGGGATAAACAGGTGTCTATAATAATGACAAACCTCTGGGTATATAGTCTGTTGCCTTTTGACCCTTCGTTATCTTTGCCTTACCCTTCTCATCTCCCTTCCTCTTCCTAACTTACCCTCTCTCTTGAGTTACACTGTATTTTGTCATGTGTTTGCGCCATCCTCACTTTTTCTCTTTCTCCTTCTCTGTTAATTTAGACCGTCTTTGTCTACATTTACGTTTTCCTTCTCTCTCTTTATCTCTTCCTCTTCCTCTCCCCTCTTCAGTCGATCCAGGATCACTTTGACTGCTGTGGATTCAACAATGAATCTCGCCACATTATCTACAACAGCCCAGATGACGACGGCTGCGACACAGGTTGCAACCACATCGCTCACCCTTTCTGCAATACATCTGCTCTCACCAAACACAAGGTGAAAAAAACTAGCCTTGTGTCTATGAGAAAAGCACGTTCTTCCGTCATGCCAATATTGTATGCATTATAGAGTACAGTCGTATAGGTAACTAGTGTGGACATGTATGGGTCAATTATTGTGTCTACGCATCCTGTGTTCTAGCATTGGATTTTTCAAGCTACTCTTAATTTTAGGGTATCACGAACTTAACAACTAACCTTCCTCCCCGTGCCAGAAATGTTGTCACGGTGACGGCAACCCTGGCAACGCCATGGAGTTAACGTGTGAGGTGGAGACACCGTTCGGAAACTGCTCTGTCCTGAGACAGTGTGAGTCGTGTCCGGCCTGCTACACCTCCTGGAAGAAGGGCGTGTCCGACACCGTGTGGCTGGCCGGCAGCTTTGGACTCATCTTCAGCTTTACTCAGGTATACACCATGTTTATGAATTAGTTAAAAATTAAGGGAACTACTTTAGGTATATATAATATCATAGTCAAAGGTCTATAATTACTGCGTAGCATTTGTAAGTCACTGAAAAGTTACTTTTTTAGAAATAGAAATTTCTTGCCTCACGTTTTCGTAATTTGTGAAACTTGAGATTTTTGTCGCAAGTTTATAGATGGCAATTACGGAGAAAACTCACTCATATTCCCTCCCTCCCTACTCTCACACACATCACAGGTGGTTGGCATCGTCCTCTCCTGCAGATTTCGCAATCTGAAGGACCCCGACGCAGACCCGAGAGCCTTCTTCTGATTGGTCGATTCAAATTCAAACCCCGAAGCAGCCCTGAAGCATCTCCTCACGAATACACTTCAACAGTCAAAAGAACTATAAACTTCTCGTGAAAATGTGTATATATTATTTTACCGTGTGCATAATTGATAAAAGTATGATTAGTATAGATTATGAACGCAATTGGTATTAAAATGGACAGCGGAAAGAAAGTAAAAGTTTGAAAAAAAATCACAGATACATCGAGGGCGATATGATGATGGGCATTAAATGGGAAGTGTTGGTCTTATTTGTGCCAAGTTCAGTGTATATAGACCAATGGTTGGTGTGTCGTCAGTTGCTGGAGAGGCGGGGCCGTTTCCGTGCCAACGAAGTCTGCGCGAGTGCCTTGAAGGCGTCGGCTACGAGATTGGGATGACTGTTAATAAGTAGGGTCCAACCCCCAGTTTCCATGACTTCAGCTGCGTGACTATTATATAGCAAAGGAGAGAAGATTTTTACAGTAGCAAACTTTCAACTTTGCACCTAAGACACTTTCACGATGCTTGTCTTTTCCGGATATAACACAAATATGGCCCAGCCCACGAAAAAAAACTTTCGAGCCAAGAAATTTCGAGTCTTTTTTTCATCGAAACTATATAATACTGAGTTACAATGCATACCTGTTGATGAATTCAATGCTGATTGCCTTGAGTTGCTCTGCACTGTGCAGGTCTGCCAGTACGAGTGTGTCAGCAGCATTCTCAACACTGAGACTGTTGCACAGTGACTCCTCACACATTGTCTTGAGTCTACCTAGATCATACTGATACGGGGTGGGAAATGAAAAGAGGGATCGAATGTGTCAAAGAAGAGAGAGGAAGGGAAGGTTGAGAGAGGGAAAAGGAAATGGAGAGGGAAGAAACAGAAGAGTGATGGAGAGAGGAGGAGATGAGGTAATATAGCTACCTTGTCAGCGGCTGAAAGCAGCTGGTCAGCAGTTTTCTTGAGATTTGGTGCCTTCCCAGTGTAGATGTAATTCAGCATCTCCCGCAGTACCTCTCCATCAACATCGTTGATCTCAACGTGATTCTGAGTGACACAGGGAACGCAACTAACGCAATCCCTCCATCCTTGCTCTTTTTTTGACCACTACCTACCTCCCTGCTCAGTGTAAGTGTAATTTGAACCCACAAAATAAACTTGCTTCTAATAATATGTATGCCCGCTTTCCACAGTAGAAAAGCTCAAAAATTGCACTCAGTGTACAAAGTTTAAGCCCTACAGAAATAATCTGAGACCTTGATGCTCTCCTCCATGCTGTGTTCAAACATGGCAGAGAAGACAGGGGATCTGGCTGCGAGGACAGCCTTGTGGGCCTGGAACACCTGTCCTCCGACTGAGAGAGTGACGTCACTGAACATCCCTTTATCCTGGAGTACCCCGAGGTCAGAGCTGAGGGTGCACTCGGGGACACGAGGGTAGTCGTGCATCGAGCCAGTGGCATTGTGGGCGTCGGCCACCACACTTACCTGCAGGGGGAGAGAGAGGAGGTGGAGAGGGTGACGTGTGTGCGTGCGTGTGTGTGTGTGTGTGCTACAGCTGTTCTAAAGATGGTCACAGATGCATGTATATAGGCATATATTGCATTTTTAAAACTGCACCCAATTGCGTTCTTTGTATACTTTTAGTAACAGTTCTAAATTTAGCCCTGCATAATTATGACGACATACTTCACAGTAAATGGTGAGTTTGTCCTCTGGAAGCAACCCGTTTGCCTCGTCAAACAGGAAATCTCGTCTGATGAACTTCTTGAAGCCCCAGTCCTTCCCCTGGACAAACCGGTACGCCCGCTGGCTCTCTGTCACCGTAGCAACCAGTAAACAGAGAGAGGAAATAATAATTATGTAAGATGATCATGCAGAGTTTAAAGGGTACGAAAATCGAACACAGCAACTGATAAAAAAACAATGGGTTTTAAACTATTGTAAAATCTGTTGTGAGAAAGACCGATTGCTAAAAGGAAACCAAAGCACACATCATCGCCATAGCAACCGATAAAAATCTGTAAACATTGAGAAATGTGTTGTGTGACAGACCCATTGCCTTCCGTTCCTCTCTCTTATTGTTGAGGATTGAGAATTTGAACTTTGCCCTGACTTCAGGTTTCATCCCGCTGACCAGGACAAGGTAGAGGGAGATGTAGTCTCGACTCTCGTCGTCCAGCCCTCTCGGGTTGACCCTAAGACACCTGCACCAGGGGGGGAGGGGAGAGGGAGGAGGGAGAAGGAACAAGAGGGAGAGGGAGAGGGAGAGGGAGAGATGAGAGGGCAATTTATGCGCAACACGCGGGTAATCGAGCAACATGCAGAGCTACAACAGTCGAACAAGAGTTCTGTAGGAAGTGCCGCAAGTAGAACTCTCTTTTCTTCATGCACGACTTTATTTCGACCCGATGACCCACTCGCAGCATTTGGCAACAGTCATTGAAAAACATTCACGTACAGTCTAGCAGTAGCAGCAAGCACACAGAGCAATGGGTGGAGCAAACAGTCTAGCAGTAGCAGCAAGCACACAGAGCAATGGGTGGAGCAAACAGTCTAGCAGTAGCAGCAAGCACACAGAGCAATGGGTGGAGCAAACAGTCTAGCAGTAGCAGCAAGCACACAGAGCAATGGGTGGAGCAAACAGTCTAGCAGTAGCAGCAAGCACACAGAGCAATGGGTGGAGCAAACAGTCTAGCAGTAGCAGCAAGCACACCGAGCAATGGGTGGAGCAAACAGTCTAGCAGTAGCAGCAAGCACACAGAGCAATGGGTGGAGCAAACAGTCTAGCAGTAGCAGCAAGCACACCGAGCAATGGGTGGAGCAAACAGTCTAGCAGTAGCAGCAAGCACACAGAGCAATGGGTGGAGCAAACAGTCTAGCAGTAGCAGCAAGCACACAGAGCAATGGGTGGAGCAAACAGTCTAGCAGTAGCAGCAAGCACACAGAGCAATGGGTGGAGCAAACAGTCTAGCAGTAGCAGCAAGCACACAGAGCAATGGGTGGAGCAAACAGTATAATAATCATGTAAAAGTGAGGTGTCCTGGGTCTAGTTGATATGTTCGACATGCTTGCATTGACACCCTGTCAGAGGTGTGTCTGTCTTCTTTCCACACTCCCTAATTGTACCAATGCCATCCCACCAACCACACAATATACAATAACACGTGTGTTTTCTATTCATGATTATGCCATACGCACAACGTACTGACTTACCATTTGAGGTTGTCTTCGGGTCCGCTAGAGAACGTTGAACTCTTGAGAACTTCTCCAATCTCCTCCCGGCAGTAGCTGAAGTTGTCGATGGTCCACATGTATGAGAACTTGATGACCCTGTGCGTGTGAGGTGAGGGCAGAGAAAGGTTCACATGAAAATGGAGAGAGGAGTGGAAAAACAGAGAGGGAAAGTGGTTGGAGAAGAGCAGGGAAATGGGAAAGTGAGGTTCACCTAAGATGGGTGAAACACCAGCTGTCTGCCATCGGGGTGGGCGGGCTCGATGGGGTCAGACCAGCCGTCTCGTCTTTTGCTGGTGACAGAGCCATTCCGCAGCTGAAGAAGCAGCAATAATTCGTCGCACGGGGAAAAAGAAATTTCAAGAAACTGAGTCCGCGGTCCACTCTGCAACGCGTCGCGTCTTTCACCGCCAAGATTAAGACGTCATGCTATTGTCCGTTTGCTCCACAGACGCTAAACCTTCCCTTTGCTTTACCGGCTTTGCCTGCCTCAACAGGCTGATTCCCCCCTCACACTGTGACCAATTTCTAAACACAGATAACGGATAATTAGAGCGCAACGCGACCTTTGGCTTTGACCCTTCGTCTGGCATGAAACACTGCGCATGCGCACTCGCTGCCGTGCATGAATGTCAGGACTCCACAAGGTGTTCGTGTACGGGACACTGAAACGAGGCCAACCCAACCACCATCTCTTGCAGGAGGCAGTAGGGCTAGCTAGACTCCTCGGCCGAGCACGACTCGTCGACCGCTACCCACTCATCCTTACAAGATACGGAATTCCAATGCTCCTAGCTAAGCAAGGCGCAGGAGAAGTATGTATGTAGTTGTAAATACAATACACCCTTTTACTAGTTCCTTTATAGCTCTCCTCTTTTGTTCTCAGGTAGTAGAAGGAGAGTTGTACGAAGTGGACGACGATGCACTAGCGAAACTAGACGAACTCGAACACCACCCTACACTCTACACTCGAACGCCCACACACTGTCACCTCCTCACACCCTCCCAACAATCACACCTCCCAAACTCCACCTCATCTCCTACCCCCTCCTCTGACCCCACAGCCAGTGTGGACTGCGAGACATACATGGTATATGATACCACAGACTCTGCGCTTCAGCAACCTCACTATCGCTGCTACGACGTTGCAAATCTTCCAGAAGGGCTAGAAATGCCCCCCTCTGCTAAAGATAGGAGCCCAGAACTACGGGCAGCCATTTACGAGAGCTTGCTCGAAATAAAGAGGAAAATGTCATAGACTCATATGAGAATCACATAGACTTTTGGCAGGAGGTGTTAATCTTCTCTGTTTTGATATTTTTTAAGACTCCATCGGTCGTGTCTTTCGTCACCACTTCCATTGGTTGTTCTTCCTCCCCACCCTCACTCTTTACTAGGTCCATCCTGACACCAACTGATGAACTCTCTTTTAGCACACTTTCAGTGCTACGATCACTAGCAGTGGCCTTCTCGCTAACACCGTCGTTTACTCCTTCAGATATCGGCGTAGTTACAACTTCTTTGGGGACAGGAGTTTCCGGAGTTTCATGAGGTTTTTGGTTGTCTAGATATGTAGGGGAGGAGAGTGAAGTGTCGCAGTGACCACCACAGAGTGGAGGGGTGAGGTAGAGAGGTATAGGGCTGGCACACTGGCCCCCTGATGGGTAGACGTATGTGCAAAAAGTGTAGAGGAGCTGCTTTTGATCAGAGCAAATGTCTGGGAATTGAATCAAGGCAGAGAGCACTCGAGAAAATGAAAAAGAGAGAGAGACAGGAACGGCATTCATCACACTTGTGTTTACATCAATATTGAGCGAACGAGTCTGTATTAGGTTATCGTTGCAGATCAACTACTTGACGGGGAATCCACAGATTGTATATAATATAGCACAGACAAAATTCATGTGGATGAGGGTGGTTTGATTAGGTGTGTGTAGACCGTAGCAAGAGATATAATATACAATATAGAGAATAAGGATACGTCTTCGACATTTCGTGGAGAAAGGAAGACACTTGTTGTCACAGTTGCCATTGTTACAAGTTGGGTGAGGCGTGGGCATGTACTGTCCTTGCAGCCGCAGGAGGTGCTGGTGGTGGGCGCGGCTGGAACTCCGCATCTCTTTCCTCGAGAAGAATTCGATGCTCGCCGCTATCTGCCGCTGTTTTTGACGCCGCTCCAACACCGCTTCTTCGCCCGTCCGGCGCCTGTAGCTGCGGTAGGCCGCGTCCTCCAGCGAGCCTCCGCGGGACGGATTCACCGCTGAAGACACGTAACACAACGCAGTCAAAAGTTACGCCGTCTGAGAACGCGTGTTGTAGTATAGTGTGCCTTGCCTTCTTCCCGGTCCCCGCCCGCGGCTGCCCACTCCAGCAAGAACTGACGGCGTCTCTCGGCCAGCGAGTGCTTCAGTCGAGCCAGCTGACTGGTGTACAGGCTGCGGAGGGTGAGCAGTTTCTCCCGGTAGATCGTCTGCGCCTCTCTCTCTGTCCACGCGCCCGCGTTTCTGCACGGGGGAAACATAGATAGATAGATACACCCACATAGAGGGCCGACAAACTAACGCTAGCGGGTTGGAATCGTAAGCCTCCATCTGCTCGGCGTCACTGTCGTTCTCCCCTTTCCACAGACTGGCCGTGGACAGCGCCTCTGCCTCAGCCGATACACCACTCTTTCCGTCAGCCATGATCGCCACTACTACAAAGGTCGAAGTACACGGCATCTCGTTTTCATGACGTCACCAAACGCATATAATTATTGCGCGTGCGCACACTGGATGTCATCGAAATGGGGGTGAGGGTCTATCTGCTAGCATGCTCATAGTCTGATCGTCGTATTTCGGGCCGAGTGTCCACAGTTTCTCCAACTCATATCTTTGTCTGGTGTCATCCAGCATCATATGAACGACTGCAAACCCTGGGGAAATAGAGAAATTCTTTTCAAGAGCGGGGAAGAAAGTGTGCCTGCAACTAACCAACATCAACTGCCGTCCAGTCAGAGCTCTCTTTTCCGCCTACACTCACTCTCCTTCCTTTTCCATCTCTGCACCGTTTCACCTATATACAGATAAACCCTTTAACACACAATATGCACAATACTTTACAAAGCCAGTGCAGTTTGCTTTTCTCAGAGTAGAGTAGAATTGTAGCAGTCTACTCGCCTCAGCTGCCAGATTGTCTGCCATTGTGTGGATATGTCTCGTCCCAAGTCCGCTACACACGACAAAGTACTCTACATATTCTCTCTCGGGAGGCACTCGTATGACGCAAATGTCTCTGCCGTTTTCCTCTCTCAGAAACTGCACAAGTTCGTCAATGTTATCGAGAGTTCTGTGCAGATGTCTCTTTCTCCTCTGCGGAACCTCAGCTGGCTGATCATGGAAGATTCTCTCGTCTCTGCGAAGCTTAGCTGCAGCAATTCTGTCAAGCAATTCGTCAAAGCTGTAACCAGCCACAGATTCTCTCTCTGAGACTAAGGCCTCGCTGTTTGTCTTGTCTAGGTCAGCGGCTCCTTTGTTTGCAACTGGCAAACTATCCCTCGTTCTCACCGACAGCTCTTTATCCTTGTCAATGTCATCCTCGCCTCTCCCCTCATCTATACTGAACGCTCTTGGTCGACGACCGTCCATATAAATCCTAAACCTGGCGCTCGACAAACGGGCCCTGACAGTCCAGGATAAACGAATGGACGATAGCATCCTTCTTTTTGTCTGTAGCTACGTCTTCTCCTTCCGTTCCCCTTCGAAAGCTAGTGAAAGCGTGAAAGAGTGTACACGTGGGTTAGCCCCGCCCAACCTATTCTAAATAATGCCCATTCAATTGCGCTGAACCGGTGAACGGATTGACAGATGTCTTCTCAGGGGAAAGAAAAGCTGCAGATCAGCGCCTCGGCCGTGAGTATCTCTTAAAATATCTCTTCCTCGTGTCTGGGCGTGGGAAAGCATACTCGGATAATCTCTCTTTCAGCTTGTGGAGCTGAAAGCTACTTTGTTCAGTAAACAGCGAGAGGTAAAGAGTCAGGGAAAGAAGAATGCGAGCGGAAACGATGGAACTGCTCTTTCCACTAACGCCGTCTCTGAAAAGGTGAGCTTCAAACGATCTAGAAGCATTGAAAAGAAGCAGCCTTTGACTTTCCCCATAATGTGTTTACGTGACTACAGACGGCGGCGATATGGCGCAGGCCACAGAAGCAGAAGCGGCGGGGAGGGAGAGGAGGGAGTGCTAGAGAGGCTGCCAGGGAGAGGGCCACCCAGCGAAGTGCCGAGGAAGAAGCAGAACTGGAAAGATCGAGGTAGGCTTACTTTTTATCCTTAACTCAAACCTTTAACACTCCTTGTATATTTCCAATACATTTTTAATGGTACCAAATTCAGTGTCACACCATCCTGTGTGTTGTTATGATTCAGAGACAGTGCATTTGACTTGCAGAAACTAATATAATTTACACCAAATGTGTTTATCTTTATGTGTTGCTCTGTGATATAAAGGAAGGCACTGGAAGCTAAGGCAGCACTGTATGACCGACTGTGTGGAGGGGAAGGGGTGAGGGGGGGAGGGAGTGATAGTGATGATGGGGAGGAGGAGGGAAGGTACATGGTGGACTTCACCAGAAAGATCGTGGAAGAGGTATGGAAATGAGCAAGAGAAGGAGAACAGCACAGCAATTTAATACGCTAACTTATCCATAATTCAAAAAGTGGCAAAGCAAGGAATAGTGTCTCTAATGGTGACTTTCTGCATATATACAAATTTTCCCCCATTGCTACAGAGAAAGACTCGGCAACTAGCTTCATCCGCAGACTCCTCGAAATCTGGAGAAAGTGGCAGTGTCACTAAAGAGGGCGTGGCTCAAGAGGAGGGGGAGTGGGTGGAGTACGTGGACTCGTTCGGGCGGAGTCGCAGGTGTCCCAGGGAGGACCTCCCCCACATGAAAGAGCAGGAAGTCAAGAGAAGAGAGAGGTTTGACTACACTTATATAACCACAAACTTTTTGATACCCTATCAAATTATGTTGGGCGAGTAAAATTTTACTGAGCACCTCAAAATTGTTTGGTCCCCAACTTTTATTTTTTAATGAGGATGTTATGTTTTAAGGTCAGCAACTCCAGACTTGCTGTCGGAGGACATGGCGATGGAGAGAGAGAGACGGAGGTGGGAGGAGGAGGTGGAGGGGAAACTGGACAAACCAGTCGGTCCAGTCCACTACGAGGAACTCAGGCGAGGAGGTGAGCCAGCTATCTCTCTCTCTCTCTAAAACCATACGCTGAGTGTCTCTCTTTACTCGTGTCTTTTCTGCTCCCCTATCTCTGAAGAGATTCGAACACATGGTGTGGGCTACTACGCCTTCTCGCAGGAAGAGGAAAAGAGGGCCGAGCAGTTGAGCCTGTTGAACAAACTCAGAGATCAGGTGGGTGTTCATATTGCTAGTGTGTGAGGAACTTTATAATATCATGCCAATGGTCGTTTCTTCGTTCTTCGTTATTGTAAGAATCACGAAATCTCCTAGGTGAACTCAAATGCATAACCGTCTTCCTTAACCCCCTCATTCAAATTATTAATTATCTCTATACACGTGATAATTTGTAACCCATCTTCTCCGACACAGACTGTTAGTCAAAGGGAAAAGAAGGCAAAGTTGCAGGAGAAGAGAAAGGCACAAATGGCCGCTCGACTGGAGAAAGTACGACAGAGGAAGCAACTCAAACCACCAGAAGTGGAAGAAAAAGGTGAAGAAGAAGAGGAAGGGAAGTTGGTTGGTGGGTTGGTAGAGGGGGAGAGGAGAGAGGAAGATCCACTAGCGGCCATGATAGAGAGCGAACTGGGAAAAGCGAGGGAGAAAGCAGAGAAGGGAGGAGGCGAGGAACGAGATGGGGGTGTGGCAAAGAAACCCTACGTCAGACCATGGGACAAAGGCAAAAGTGAGTTCAAAACATAGTCTGCTTTTAGCCATCAAATACCTGTCATAAAAATGCACATAAAATAGAAAGCATATAACAACAAACATTTGTGTTCTTCAGTTGTCGATCCAATTCGCAAGAGAAAGAAGGAGCTGGAGGACGAAAGGTTCTCTGAGTTTGCCCCACCTTCGTCTTACAAGAACAGTGCCACTGAGCTGCCAAAGGTTGCCAAAATGGACAATACAGACCAAAAGAGTGACCAAAGTAGACCACTAGGCGACCAAGGTCACAAGTCAGCGACTGAGATACCAGAAGAAGTGCCAAACCAAAATGTTGCTGAGAGTGGTGCTGCCAGTGGCCCCCCACCCCCACCCCCTCAAAACTACTACCAATACCAGCCACCTATGTTTGCTTTCCCTCCACCATTCATGCCGTCACCACTATTTGGTCCAGTACCCCCACCCCCTCATGGACCAATACCAAACTTTAGACCACCACCAAACTGGTATCCATACTTTCACCCCCCACCCCCACCCCCTACTATGCCACCATCACAATCACCACAGTAGTTGAGTATGAATTTATTTTCTCTTATAAAACTACAGTGAACATTTTTGGACGAAACTAAAAATATTCATCTGTGGATCTACAAAAATGTTCTTGGAAGTCAGTGAAAATAGTAGGAGTTGTAGCCGTGAATGGTGTGCCGCTTTCCCTTCTGCATTCCGTACTCCCTCAGGTCCGGTACCGGTTCCAGGAACTGGGAATGGAAATGCTTCATGGTGTCGCTGCGACTGAAGCCATACAGCTGCGAGAATCTCCGGCATGTGATTGACGAGCGAGGGCGAAAGGACGCTTCCTCCTCGTCGACGGAAAACGAGCATTCCCGCTGTTCAACCCCAGTAGTGGATGGTCTCATTTCCACCGTTTTTGCAATCGTTGGTCCATCAGTGGTAGACCTGGCTTGGTTGTCATTGGTCGAATGTGGTAGGCCTAGCGGTGGAAATTCGTCGTTTGGTTCGGTCTGTGTGGCTGCATCTTTCATGGTGACCCACCTAACCTCTCCTTTCGCCCACTCTCCCTCTTCTTCTTCCTCCCACTCACAATCTTCTCCAACTGTATCCCCCCTTGCTGGTGTTCCCTTGTATTTTGACCTGCTTTCTGCAGTGTACGGACGAGAGTGCGAGAACGACAAATAGAGTGGTCGAGAACCACTTAGATTTTGGCCCCCGGTGGCTGACATTCGTCTACTGGTGGTCTTGTTTGGTCCATCATGGGGGTAGCCGTATGGTAGATGGAAGTGGTCTTGGTAGCTGGTGGTTCTGGCGACTAGGCAATGAATGGTGCTCAGGGCTTCTTGAGTGTGAGGTGGTTTGGGGGAATGAGATGTTGGGTACTGGACATGTGGTGTAGGGTAGGTCTTGGAACGCTGGATATGCCACAAGAAAGAGACATTTAACCCTGTTCTACCCGGACAAAATTTAACTCCAATTTCACTATCTGGGTAAAATTTAACCCCTGTATGGTTTACGTACCTGGTGACGTTGTGAGCGAGGCAAGTCCCACAATTGACTGTACCCATCCTGTTGGGTCATGTGATCTGTCACATGACCTCTGGAAAACTGATGATGTCGTTCAATTCTGGACCCCTTTTCAACCGCCTTCTGGGCCACGTAGTACGACGGGGCAGAGTGAAGAAGAGCGGACGTTGCTGGTGTTTGGGTGCCAATGTTTCGATGGGTGTGACTTCCTGCTGTGGTGTGAGGATGTGAGGTGTGGGTATCAGGGAAGAGGGAGAATTGGGAGATGTGTGATGTGTAAGGATGCTCCGCCGGAAATGGTTGACACACTTCTTTCTCCCTGTGAGGAGAGAGAGAGACTTCAGGAGTTCAGTACAATTATTAAAGATTGCTTTGTTGACTTACACAACGCGACTATCTTTGGTCATTGGCCTGTCCACTCTGCATAGGAAAGCATAAAGCTGCATCTCCGTATGGGCGTGCATGCAGTGCACTTTATGTAGGTCTTACAGTTGATCTGCTGGGCGCAGGTTGCTGAGCTTGAGAGCCGTCAGGGAGTAGTCTTGATGCTCGGGTATATCCCTATACAACGATCAAAAGTATAGTTTAGCTAGCTATACACCTTGACAGGGTCCAGCAAATTGACGGACCTGTGGACGTGGAAGCCCGCGTTGTCGCCGTATTTCTGCACTCTGCGACGGAGAGCGTTCAGGTGCGGCGGTTGGGTGGCGAGAGAGTGGGAGATATAGTCGTGGTAGCTGCGGAGAAGAACGAGAAACACTAGCCAAGTTTCTGCGCCTGCCTGCTGCTTTTTGCTGTCTCACAGTTTCTGTGTGAGTGTTAGTCTTTGCAGGTGATGCGGGGCCCACAGATAGGAGCTCTGGTAGGTACTAGAGAGTGGCGGCAGAAACGGAGACGCTTCTCCTCTGTCAGCCATCGCAGCTAGATCGCTCAATCTGCAGCTAGGGTAACTCTAGCTAGCTATACTAGCTAATAATAGCTGCGCGCAACTTACGAGCCCCTCCCCTTTGGCCTCTGCGTTGCTAAGGGCGTGGCTCGTAGGAATGATGTCATATTTTTGCCGTTTAACCCCTTGCCCGCCCCATGGACTCGTGGGCGCCGCAGAACCTTTTAGCATCTCCGGAGGGGGAGAGGCGAAGTGCGAGGTTTTGTGGCCAGGAGCGCAAGCCTGCACCTCTTTCTGCACGCAAGTCTGCAGCCGCCAAAACTCTCAACCGCCACGACACCCAAAACGACCGGTAAAACACCCTGTTTTTGTGTACGCACTGGCGATGGGCGTCCCCTCATTTGTTCTGCGAACGTACAGTTGTGTACGTGTTATTCTTAGCACCTAGTGACTGTATCTGGAAATGGAAAATGGAAACACGAGGAATGGGGGTATGGCGGTACTGGGGAATGGAAACCGGAACCTATCTTCCGTCTCTGAAGATCAAAATATCGAAGAGGTTGCAGGACCTGAGGAACCGGAGGTGGTCACTTGTATGGAGACTGAGGAGGGATTGGAACTGGGAATGGAAGTATGTACGTATGACAGTATGGGAATGGGACTGGAGTGCGACGAGGAGATACTGACGGCTTCCAGTCTGGAACGTGTTGCTAAATCCGTGGAGGGAAGCAAAGAGGGGGAGGGAGGGAGAGAAAGAAGTCTGCCTTTCAACTCGCCTCAAAACTGCCGCAGCAATTCAACTTCTCCAGATACTCAACACGACTTAACCCCTTCGTCTCAACCGCAGTGTTTAACCCTTTCAGATCCACAGGAAAATTTAACCCTCTCCAGTCACGGTCTGCAAGACTACAAGCAATTCTCTGCAGACGAATCTTCATCAGCCATCGATGAATCTTCCCAGTTATCTCAATCTGACAGCACCTATTGTCAGAGCCACGCCTCCTCGGTGACATCATCTACTTCCGACGTCGGGGTGACCGAAGAGGAGGAAGTGGGCAGAGCTACCGAGGACACGTCGAGTGGGGGAAGAGGGGAGAGGAGGAGGAGAGGGGGGAAGAGGGAGGGGAAGAAAGGCAAGGGAGGATCATTGGGACAAAATACAGTCGGCATCCGTCAAATTGAGTCGAAAGTCAGTCAGTCTTTTTTTAGAAAATTTTGTCCAGCCGTAAGAAATGTCCTGATCAGTGATAAAACAAGTCCCCTTAATTTTCTTTAATGTCCTGAATTTTATTGCAATAGTTGGGTGTTTGGTGCATTAATTTGTCTCCCTTCTTTGACTAATTCTGGTGTGTGCAGGTTTTGAGTGACCCGACGATGCTACTGAGCAGAGTCCAGAGGAGAGGGACGCTGCAGAGGTCTGAATCTGCAGTCAATACGTTGCAATAATTATAGTACTATAAACTTTGGAGTGGAGTGATAAACCATAGTAGACGAGAATTTCGTGACATGCTTGTCACACTATACACAAGTTCTGCTGGGCTATGCAGTTCAACAAGGATGTGTTGTATAATGGATGATTCTTAGAAATGTGACATTTTTCCCTCAAAAATTAACGTTTCCGCTCTAATGGTATCATATCTCCCCTCCCTCTCTCCCACCTCTCCCTTGCTCTCTAGACGGAAGGCGGTCATGGGCACGGAGGCCGATTCAAGCGATTCCAGTGAACTAACGGCTGAAGACGACCACTCTTCCCAGAGAAGTAAAGGTCAGTTTGTACACCTTTCTTAGCAGCTTTAGGTAGGTAGATTGTGGGAGGCCTGGATAGAAAGGCCGTGGAATTGATGAATGAATGGTTGGAGTAATGGGAAAGTTATACAAGCGAGAATAGATACGTTTAGCCGAGTGCGTCGTCACAACATTTGTGAATACATAATTACCCGCAGGCAAACACTCATCTCTACTGCTACAATCGTGCCCCCCACCCCCCAAGAAGACAAAATTGCCCCCCGACCAGCCCCCCGGGAACCTCCTCTGCTCGATCCTCACAGACATCCCTGAAATTGACATCCGACCCATGGCACTCCTCTCGAGGACAATCCAACCGAAAAAGTGAGTTTTTTCATTTTTTTTCACGGTTTTCTCTCTACTTTTTCCTGTGGCATGCAGTCAAATTTTTGTGGTGTGCTACTCAACTCTTCAATTTTTGGTTGTGTGCCGTTTATTTTAATGGTGCGAAGTGGTAAGCGAACAAAGCACAAAAGGAGATTTGAAATCAAAAATTAAAAGTGTATGCTGGGGTCTCTTGCTTGCGAAAAGTTGTTAAAATCAGTTTCTGGACGAGGCGTTTGGTTGAAAGAGATGGTGGGAGGGTTGTCCTAGCAACGGCAGAAGTATGTGTAGGGATAGTAAGGATAGTAGACCCAACTGCATGTAGGAGGGAGGGAGGGAGGGAGAGAGGGAGAGATGGGTGAGTGAGAGAATATGCAGAATGAAGGTGATAAAATAAGCTGGACATGAACACTTTACTGCCTATGTATTACCCTTTGATCCTGGTTTTCAAAAGAAAGCACTCCATTAACTTAATGCACTTAAAAGTGAGGAAAGATGTGTTTTTTAGTTTACGCCCTTTTCGAGCAGTTGGACCATAGATGTGTTGAACATCCCCCAACACAACTGGAAGGTAGGTGTGTTAAATTGGCGCTTGAGGTCTCCTCCCAGCTTCTATAAATTTAACCCCTGCCTGCCTGGGTCTATGGGATCCATCAACGTCTACCTGTAATTCTCTCCCTTTCTCTCTAAGTTCAAAACCCTCTCGTAAGTTCTCTTGTACTGCACGGATTCCCAGTCTCTTCACATTTGGAATAGAGCAGAGCATCTGGTCGCGATAAACGTCGTGCAGCTCGGTCGCTTGCAGCTGTTCCCGTCCCTAACGCAGTAGGCGTTGCGTGTTCTTCTCCGATTTCACCTGCTCGCAGAATTCCACCGACATCCTCTTCGCAGTCGGCGATGCAGTGGTTCACCGAATTGTCCCAGTAGCTATTCCACGGGCACGAGCACTGGCAGGTGTTGGAGTCGTAGGTCTGTCCGTCGGTACACTCTGGTGAATGCACTGACACTCGCAGGTGTGGTAGTTCATGCGCCGGTTTCCCGGAACAGAAGCTGGTCTCGGAACGACGAAACACTCGCACAGGATCTCGTTCAGTTTGATGGGGTAGTGCAGCGTTGCGAGCAGCACGGCGCACGTCTCCATGAGTAAGTCCAGTAGCATTGTGTTTTTTGTGAGCCGCACATGTTGGCTCGCAGCCAGGTTGGGGCTGGAGTAGCTCTGCACCAAGTCGCACCTCCCAATTGTATGAAGGAACTAGGGTGCCGGCTTCGAACTTTAGAGGGGAGTGAGGAGTGCGTATAGTGGGCGAAGGGAAGGCAGAGGGCAAGGGAAGATGAAGGAAAGTAGTGAGGGCGCGAACGAGAGAAGAGACTGAGTGTACGACAAAGTGTGACAGATGAAGGGGAAGTTATATTGGCCGAACTGCCAGATTTCTCAAGAGTCACACTGTATTAAGGGTTCCTCACCAGCACAACCAGGGTTACATTGCGACCAGTGTGCACAGTAGTAACCATCATATCCTGCCAGAGACACAGGAGCAAAACATCAAAGCGGAGACTGACCAACATTTTATGCGTTTGCAGTCTCTACTAGGCTTGTGTGATTGTCATAATGCAACTCAAGTTGCTAGCCAGCTCTCCATATCTACTAGCTAGAGGTCTGTTTCGCAGTCTTTCGGCCTTTGTCTGTCACAATACCCACTCTGGCTTTGTGCAGTACCAACTGCATGCATATAGCCACGTACAACTAAGTCCACACATTCTAAAATTCGCTGCTTCATTCTTACCTCTTCTCGCTTTTTCGTTTTTCTTGCTTCCGCACAATTTTCCATTCCTCTCTCTCTCTCTCTCTCTCTCTGTGTCTTTCTGGCTCTCTCAAACACGGCATATACTCACTAATGAACATAACCACGCTACTATATTCCTTCTTCAGACGACGCTCAACACGTAGGTGCTACTGTCCTCAAACCACTTTTTCAGACTGTCGTTTGCGCCACTCGCCAACACTGTCTGAAGATGACGCCGCCGATGGCGCACTCCTTTCGCTTTGTTTTCCCGGCACTTGTCACGTGATGTTTCGCACGTGCAGCTGTTGGCACGCCCTCTCCGTAAGAGTATCAGTACAGCAGTTGAAATGGAACACTGCAACTGGCAACTACGCGTTTAGTCGAGTTGTTGGTCCACCTCTTTAAGTAGCTTGGTGCACGCCGACAGGAGCATGGGAGGCAAAACAGCGCAGGTGGAAACAGGGCCGGCTATGATGAACACACAGTGCGAAATGTCGGGATTTTGTACGCGAGTTTGCTCGCCGCCTCCTCCATGCCTATTCAACGACACACACTTCGGTTCGAGATTTCGTGTTTTCGGGCCCCCTGATACATGTTTTGGCGGGAACTTCGGTGCTTATTCGTCATTGTTGGTTAGTCGTTGGTTGTCTTAGGTCAGGGCCGATGTCTGATCAGCATTCAATACGTTGATGAGCGTGAAGGACTGTTTTTCGTTCTCATGCCAGCGCACACGCTATTATGTATGGCGATCAGTGTGTGCAACAGTTTGTTGGGTGTGTTGAGTTTGCTAGAGGCTTACGGTCGGTATGATGTATGTATGTATACTATTCAGGCTAGGAGAGCTGTTTAATAGGACGGTGTACGATGTATACCGTCAGTCGCCACTCTGTGTGTATCTGACGTACTGTGTGTCCTAGTTGTATGTATACGTTCGCTGCTGGTGAAAGGGCTTGTTTTTATTGTTCCTGTCTTGTGTTTTTTCCATCTTTCTCTCTCCCTGTCCAATCCTCCATTTTTTCCTCCTTCCCTTCCCTTCTCTTCCCCTCTCTTCCCCTCTCCCTCGCTCTCCTCCCTCTCCCATCCCTCTCTCCTCTTCTCCTCTCCCTCCACATATAGGTAGGAGAGGAAGAGAAAAGAACAAACCCCAGAAAGAAGAAAGAGCAAAACACAACAGCAGTCAGTCTCGGGCCGGGACAAGAACAGCAACCCGGTTCTCTCCACCCGCCAGCTCCCATTACCGGATTCTCAAGTCCGTGGGACCGGACTACTACTCCCTCGTCTCATGCCACGCGGGCACCCATCTTATTTTCACTGGAAAAAATGCACGAAAAACTGAGAGCAGTCAAAGTTCATTTAAATTTTTTAATGGGCCTAAATTTTTTAGAGGATATGGCAACACTTTTTTTCCCCCGCAACAAAGAGTTGTGTGTGTCTCATTTTCCATGCATGATGCTTGGAAAAAAAATTTTATATCATGCATTGCAAATTTTGTGTTGTGTATTATGATGGTATATTAATAGGTGGAGGATGAACAAGCTAAATTGATATGGACACGTGGAGAAGGGACAAGTGTAGCCATAAGAGATGAATATTGTGTAAGTCACTGAAATATGGGAGAAATATTGTGAAACAGTAGCATGGACGGACGTACATCTTCTATACCATTGAGAGAGCCTTTCCTGGGGTGTGGTATCTGGCATAGAGCACCACATGTGTTGAAGGTGGCCAATAAGGATTATTGTCAGAGTTCATGTGTTATCTGTGCTGTGCATGGAGAGAGCCAAACAGAACAGACTGAAACTGAAAGAGAAAGCAACTGTTGTTGAGAAGTCGGGGAAGAGATCGGGTTCAACCCCGTTGATACCAACGCGGCAAAAATGACCAAGTTCGCCAAAACAGCACCACGACTCCGAAAAAACCGTCTGGTACCACTCCAAGTGTTGTGGACGATAAACGGAATAAACCGCCGCGGCAACTACAGCTTTTACAAGCATGATAAGGAGCCGTCATCTCTCCAAGTATAGTACCAAGCAGCCACTACAGGTGTACTTGCATGGGGGGAAATCTGGGTCATCGTCTCTATCAACATGGGCAGAATTACCGTGTCGGATATAAACCTGGGACGATTCGTCTATGCAAGGTGTGGGAATGAATGTTTAAAAACACGCTGGGGATTCGACCTATAGTGGTGATAGGGAATGATGGGAGTTTAGCTTACATGTGGGAAGGAGGTGGTACTGGTGGGACATGATGGCTACGGGTATAAAAGTACTCGCTGTAGAGAAGGCCAGTCTTGGGAGTGGAGGTTGTGAGGATGGGGCGAAGGGAGCTGTCCTAGTAGATCTACTAGGGGTCAAGTGGAGGAGGTAATAAGGGAGGGGGTTATACCTGGGGATACGGGGAATTGAGGATGGAAGTAAGAATGGGTAGTAAGGAGGATGGAAAGTGTAACGGTCTCTTGGGGGGGTGGGAGAGTGGTGGGAATTGGCGGTGGGAAAGGATGGTCTGGTAGTATAGAGGGCAAATCGAATAAAAGACTTTTGGTAAAGGAGGATGGTGGTGGGATGGTGGTAGAGGCGTCTAGGAAAAGTTAGGTATGCTGGCAGATAAGTGGCTTGGGCTTGCGTGACGTTAGAGCTAATGAGGAGGGGGGGGTAATTGGGGCGGAGGGGCGAGGGACTGGGGGAAGACTGTGGCTACTTTGAAAGTACTACTAGTAGATAGTTGAGTGCTAGGAAATCAAGAACATAACAACCTGGGGAGAAGGGTCGGGTGTGTAGTTGTTTAATGTATAAGGTATGAATATTTAGTAAAAAGACAAGAATATTCATTATTGAGTGAGGATATTGTGAATGCGACAGGCGGAGTGGAGAAAGAAAAGTCGTCCGAAACCGAGCCCTTTCTTCAGTGCATCCGTAAGATGCCTACTCCATTGGCACCTGCCCCTCGCAAACGGGGACAACGCCAATGACCCGAGAGTTTCAGAGTCATAATCTCTGGACAATTTACAGTTCCCTGTGTCTACCTACCTCGCGGTTGTTACCGTCTAACCTTGCCTTGTACCCACGCTCTCACCCCCTCCCTCCCCGCCTCCCAGCCTCCATTTCGGATCCCACTCCTCTCAGTCCTCTGGTCACGTACCGCTCCGGTCGGCTTCCCACGTGCCGTTCTCTCCCCCTCCCCTCCCTTCCTACCCTCTTCCCCCCCTTCCCTTTCCTGTCTTCGTCGTTGTTAGCGCAACCTAAGCCACACCCCCTCACGAAACTCAACTTACACAATATTCGTCTTCACTGCTCATAGCCCACAACTCATAACTTCACCACTGACTCCTGTAAAGAGAAGCGAATTATTCTGTTGCCGGACTACCTCTCTTCGAGTGATGGCACACGGCTTTTGGGAATGGGGAGACAGCTGCAACCCTTTCATCAGAGACAAATTAACCATTTTGGAACCCCGAGATGTGTTCCTGCCGCCAAGTGTTCCACCAGGGGGCACACACATCAGTAAGACTTCACTTCCATCACACCGAGAACAGACCAATTCTTCGGAACTCCGCCCACTCACATCAGACGACACGCCACAATGTCTCAGGCTCGCCCCTCTCTTTTCGCATACATCGTTCCCCATCGATGGTCACCACCATCTTTCCACATCACTCTCCGTCCCCTTCTTCTGTTCTCTCATCTCACGAGTGTGGCGCGAAAACAGAGTCAATTCGATGTCAGCACGCACGGGAGCAGCGCGCGTTTGCCTCCACCGCGCACGAATCGCACCGCTTCGGGGTCAGTAGGGGCGTTTCCTCACGTAGACAGCACGTGTCGGTTCGGCAGCGACTGTGGCCGCTCGTTCCCTCGTCTCCTCTCTCGCGTGTTCCAACTCCAACTATACCAAATCAAGACCAGGCAGCTGTCGCCTGAGTGTTATCCAATTTACGCATCCTCCTCTCTTTCCTCACTCCCACGGTCAAATTTCTCCCTCCTTCCTCCGTCCTCCCCCTCTCCTCTCCTCAACCCTTCTCTCTTCACATTTAAAGCAATTCTCTCTTCCCCCTCTTCCCCCACACTTGGACAAAAACAACCGCCCCGTTTCGTCATCGGAATTCAATAGGTACAATCGTCTCACTCCTCCACCACTCTAACCTTCCTCACTAGACTGGCTCAAAAGACCATACACACTATGCAGTCGGCAGCAATTCCTCAACCCGCCAATTTCAACAACAGTACTAATTTTCACGAGCAGCCTGTTCGCAAGCAAATTTTTCACGGGCAAACCCTCAAATTTTTTCATGTGCAAGTTCCAGCACGCCCCCATTTTTTGGTAGTCAGCAGCAATTACAAGAGAGCGCCTTTTTCTTCCAATGAACAGCTTTATTCCGTCTTTCAGCTCATTTCTTCTTCAACCAGTCGCCAAACTTGTCAGACAACAGGCTCCAAGAATAACTGGAAAAACCAGTTTGGAAGTGAAGAAGGAGGAACCAGAGAATATAGCAACGATCACACAGCTGGCTACAACAGAAAGAAGCAATCGGTTAACACCAACGTGGCTCAACACACCTTCACACACAACCTAGGGGGGCCGCTAGATTTCACTCGAAATTCCCAGACCCCCGTCGTTCCCAGCGATCCCCTCAATTTCAAGAATACCCCCCACGAAGCACCCCCAGACCTCACTCCCTCCTCGCTTCTGCCCGTGACATCGGAGGGACGAAGAAACGGTGTGCATCATTTGGAAATTCGACCCAGAATCTTCTTCCCCACTGTAAACCTTCGCGATCCAGATCTCAATCCACTTCCTCATTCTCAGTGTTCAGGACGGGCGCACTGACCCCGGATTCCTTCTCCCTCCCGCCCTCTTTCTCCGCCCAAGATAAGATAATCGGGCGGGGCATGGGGTCTCTCATCCCTACGTGTCTGGACTCTGTCATTCCGCAGCTACCGACGGAGCTGAAGAGAACTGGCAGTGATTGACCACACCCACTGACACGCCCACCAACCTAGGGAACTGCCAGATTTCACTTCAAATTTGTCCACCTCCCCCCGGACCCCCTCATGCCAGTGGTTCCCTCAATTCAAGCACACAGCTACCAACAAAACTACTACTGGTCACCACACCGTGCAGTATCTGGCTTATCCACCACAGCCGGTGCAGTATCCAGCTTATCCACCACACCCGGTGCAGTATCCGGCTTATCCACCACACCCGGTGCAGTATCCGGCTGATCCACCACACCCGGTGCTATCCGCTTATCACCACCCGGTGGCGTATCTGGTCTACCCGGCAAACCAGTTCAATATCAAGAAAAGCCTCAAAGATCTACAAGAAAGTGCAGGAAAAATAACAAACAACCAAGTACCAAGAAAACAACACCAAGCAAGAAAAACAATAGCGTGTCGGCAAACCCGCTGCTAAGAACAGGAAAAACCAGTTTTCTGATAGCAGATGAGCACTGGTATTCTTCCTTCCCTCCCCCACCCTTTCTCCATGTTCCCATGTCTCCGCCACAGCAGTTTCATCCCATTTCACATTCCACCAGACTGGAATCGGGACACTGCCCCCAAACACTGCTGACTCCGCCACCCCCATTCGGCCTCTCTCCAATCCAACCACAACCCGTTTTGCCTGGGACTACTACCAGTTTTACCACCCACTACCATCCCAAACGGTCAACCGGTATTATAACCGGGACAAGCCATCGCTCAACGGGTCACTCCACCAAACACTGGCATATTGGGAGTTGGAATGTTTTATACTACCACAACCTGGCGTTGCTAGAGCAACGCGACAATACACCCTATTTCTAGAGGCGGAGCTTAGGAAAATGGAGCAGGAGCGTCAAAACGAAGACCACGGCAACCGAGTTGTTGCCGAGCAACAGCCAAGCTACCACCAGTTTTGGGGATGTGTGGGGGAATCAGAACATGATGCGAGTGCATCTCCAGGCAGTGAGGGGTGTGGCATAAATAACAATGATGTCACCGCCTTTGTCGAAACTTCAAACGGTGGCCTGTGTTTACGCCCGGAACACGATTACTATGGCAACCTCCTCAATCAGTGTGGACATCCACACGACATCAAGCCCCTCCCAACTGACACATGATTGTCACATGTTACTCACATGATCAATTTTTTCACTGTATTTTACTTTTGTGTTTATAATAATATATATGCCACATCAAAATAACACCAATTATTATTTTTTTAATAAAAACACCAGATTCTCATATCACTACAATGAAACAACATGAACATGTTAATTAAACATGATGAAACACAACACAATGTAAAGTTGACACGACAAATTGCTTTAGGTTCTAATGGAGAGTAGTATATGTGTTGTAAAATTACCGCCCGTTTTTGGTGGGGTCATGGTTCACGGCCCGAAAGAGGCGGGCCCAGAAGAATTTCTGACAGGAGTCTCGGTTGCTATGGTAGCGGGGGTAGTCGAGATAGTAGATGTGTTCGAGGAATCGAGGGACTTGGCACGACCGGAAGACGATGGGGATTAGGTTGTGCTTCTTGCAGTCTGAATGGTATATACATAGAGAGAGGAGACTTTGAAAGGTGTTCCAAATAAAGCACACCTCTCTGTAAAGGCGACTTGGTTCTGCCACCCCCCATGTTAATACACTAGCGTACTACTATACTAGACCTCTAGTAAAGGACCCTCTGATGTCCTTTACATAGTATGTATAAGTATCCCACAAGTTGAAACTATGCATGCCACATGCTGAAAGCTGATGTAATCAAATACGCACACGCACCCATGCACACTCCCTCTCTCTCTAAGATCGTCTCACGAATCCTCTCTGCCCTCTCTTGTCCTCCTTTTTGTAACGCTTTGGCTTAACCTTGCTACAACCTCTTTGTTGGCACCAGTGGTGGATCTAGGATTGTGAAAGGGGGGTTCCACTGTCCAAGACTGCGCTCGTGCGTGCACGCTTTGAGGCTCATATCTGTGCAGGCTTTAGACAATACATAGACAGAGGTGGAGTTTGCTAAAAGCACTGGTATTCTTCCTTCCCTCCCCCACCCTTTCTCCATGTTCCCCATGTCTCCGCCCACCCCCCACACTCCCATTTCACATTCCACCACACTGGAATCGGGACACTGCTCCCCAAACACGCAGACCTACTACTCTCCTTCCCCATTCCACACAATTACCACTCGTGAATAACCTGGAGATTCGTGAAGAGCCATTCTCGCCTCGTAGCTACACCATTCCGATTCGAGGTAGTCGGGAGAAAGAAGAATGATCGTTTTCCTGCAACCGCTCTTGATCATATCCGCAATCTGCTCTGAAAACACCTTGCCGGGCATAATCTGGAGAGAGAGAGAGAGAGAGAAGGATAGCTTTTCTTTCTTCAAAAACCAGTTCTTGCATGTACACATTAACCCCTGAAACAAGGACGCGCCTCACTTATATCTTCGGTCCCATTGGTACGTGTCTGGATTAGAGGGGTTCCACTGTACTTGTGAATAATTATACATGTACCGAAACTGTTTCAAATACACCTCCAAGGAGGTCTACTGTGTCTCACACTCCATTTTCACCTAAAAATTAGCAATGTTGGAGGTCCCTGGCCTCGTGCGTGTTTCAGTCACCCAGCTGCTACCAGTACACACACACCAAAACCCACAAAAACAGGAACTATAACGCGCGGTATTTCCTTCCCCTTTGCCGCCCCGCATGCCACACGGCCTGAATCCACATCCTCGTTTCATCATCCCTTCTGTTTACTATAGCCTTTCACACTCCTTTCATCACCTCACACACGCATGTCATGCATAGAGTATTATCTGCAGTTTATCGCCTTATAAGTCGCTACACTCTGTATATATGGAGAGGGAAGGGGGAATATCTGTTTTAGCCCACCTAATATAACCATAAGTAAGATAACGCCAAGCATGCAGAGGTTTAACCCACCATAAGTTGCTTCACGTTAGATAATAATGGAGAGAGAAGGAGGTAAATGAGGTTCATATTTATTAGCCCACCTAACCTGCATCACGCTATAAAAGGACAAGGGTTATTGTTCAGTAAGGTTTAGTTCCGCCTATGCACAAGAGTGTTATAAAAGGAGGGGGAAATCTTTTCTTTGTTCAGTGGCGTCACATGGTAAAATAGTGATGACATCATAATTGTCCCCACCCACTTGCCGTATATAGTACTATAGTGTAGCTATGTAATTACTGGGTCATGAGCAACTGCCTTATAAGCCAGCACTGCCATCTGGCCCTCATACCTTTCTCTTTGGAGAGGTTTTTCGCTAGTGTCCTGATTAGCGAGGTGTCCTGATTAGTGAGGTGTCCTGATTAGCGAGGTGTCCTGATTAGCGGGTGTCCTCATTAGTGAGGTGTCTCATTAGCGAGGTGTCCTGATTAGTGAGGTGTCCTGATTAGCGAGGTGTCCTCATTAGCGAGGTGTCCCACTCACAGCGAGGGGTCCTCACATTAAAAGCGATTAATGAGGCATCTGACTGGAGCTTTCACAGTATTATACACTTCCTGCCATGATTAGTTAAATCACGTGAGGTGCCCGTGAATTGCGCAAGGCACACAGACACAACTATGCAAAATATTTACATAGGAGGAAATACCGTTCATAGTTAACAGAATTATATTATTAGCTCACCATCTGAAGGTACAAACACCCTCATTTGTGCCTGCGTGGCCAGCCGAACGGACCTCTCGGCAAACTCTCGTCTTCTCTCGAGAATGACAAGAATACGTCGAACTGTTTGCTACCTGATGAAAACGAGGTATCTTTGATTGTACAAATTACAGTATATATCCCTCTCTTCCACCCTGCACTTCTCCATCTCTCGCCATCCATCTTCCCCCGTCCGGGTCCCTCTAGCTCTCTCTATCTCTCTCTTTTCTGCTTCTCACCTGACGAGATCCAAACTCCTCGCAGTTTGTTGTCAATCTGCAATTTCTCCATGTGGTGACTCAGCACATACGGATCAATACCACTGTGGGTGTGGCTATTTGGGGTCATGTGATGCTCGTGTGATGTCATGTGACTCGGCCAGCTACAGAAGATTGTGGGGGCATCGATGTACCATCTAAAAACACAGAAAAGAGCACAACTGTTATGTGCCTTTTGGCAACATTGGGACACTTCCAGACAGTGTTTTGCTGTGACTAAAGTGGCATTCTAGAATTCATTAAAAGGCACATTCTTAACGGTTCAGAGGAATGTTTAATGACGTGTTGCATGTATACAACAGAAAAGGAGTGTGTGTGGTGTGGCAAAGAAGACAGACAAGAAGAGACAAAGAAGGCAAGGTGAGGGCATACCGTTATAAGAGAATAAGAAGAGTTAATGCAGTGTTAAGTGGAGGAGTCCAGGAGGGGGGCGATAGGAAGACGATAAGGAGATGGAAAAAGCTTTACTGTGATGTCGAATAGTGAGGTGGAAAGAGGTGCCGTGTTGTATGAATCAGACGATTGATCAGGGAGGCTACCTTTTCTGTCCAGTCTCACCGCTTCTCAGCTGAGCAGTGAGAAGATAGACAAATACCAACGCACTTCCAATCACACACTACGACATATGCAGATACAAAGGCAATAATTATCATGGAACAATGCAACCAGCTGACCACCCAGCTGCACACATAATCCTCCCCATTCCCACTACCTCAAGTGCTGAAAGTGCGTGCTTCCTTTTGCTTTCGTAAGTCTCCACACCCCTCCTTACATCCCAGTGAGCCACTAGTTCTATCAGCTTGTCCCAGAGTAGCTTCAGACACTTTGAAGAGAGGGTGTGTGGGGAGGGGAAGAATAGGGAAGAGGAAAGAGAGAGAAAGAGAGGGGGGGGGGGGGTGGGGGGTAGAGATGTGTCTAACATGCCAAAGCGGCTCAAA